TCTCGCCAGCACACGCAGATTCCCCTCGCCCGCACGCACGACACGAACACGAAACCGACACCGATTTCCTGGTGGGTGGTCTCCGTTTCAGTGCGATCTCACCCCCCCAGCCTCCGATATAGAGAGGGAGGGAGAGGGAGAGAGAGATAACCAAATTATCCCAGTGCGACCCTACCTAGGAGTTGGAGCCCCTAGGAAAGCAGCATTAGTAGTAACAGTAAAGCTAAGCTAAAGCTAAGCTGAAGCTAAGCTGAAGCTAAGCTAAAGCTAAGCTGAAGCTAAGCTAAAGCTAAGCTAAAGCTAAGCTTAGGCTAAGCGAACACTAAGCTAAAGCTAAGCTAAAGCTAAGCTGAAGCTAAGCTAAAGCTAAGCTGAGGCTAAGCTAAAGCCAAGCTAAAGCTAAGCTAAAGCTAACGCAGCATATAAGCTAAATCTAAGCTAAAGCTATGCTGAAGCTAAGCGAAAGCTAAGCTAAAGCTAAGCTAAGGCTAAGCTACAGCTAAAGCTAAGCTAAAGCTAAGCTGAAGCTAAGCTGAAGCTAAGCTTTAGCTAAGCTAAAGCTAAGCTAGAGCTAAGCTAAATCTAATGTAAAGCTAAGCTGCAGCTAAGCTAAAGCTAAGCTGAAGCTAAAGCTAAAGCTAAGCTAAAGCTAAGCTAACACTAAGCTAAATCTAAGCTAACACTAAGCTAACGCTAAGCTAAAGCTAAGCTAAAGGTAAGCTAACACTAAGCTGAAGCTAAGCTAACGCTAAGCTAAAGCTAAGCTAAAACTGAGCTAAAGCTAAGCTAAGGCTAAGCTAACACTAAGCTAAAGCTAAGCTAAAGCTAAGCTGAAGCTAAGCTAAAGCTAAGATAAAGCTAAGCTAACGCTAAGCTAACACTAAGCTGAAGCTAAGCTAAAGCTAAGCTAAAGCTAAGCTAAAGCTAAGCTAAAGTCAAGCTGAAGCTAAGCTAAAGCTAAGCTAAAGCTAAGCTAAAGCTAAAGCTAAAGCTAAGCTAAAGCTAAAGCTAAAGCTAAGGCTAAAGCTCCCAGGGGACTGGGGGAACCGCGGGGCGGGGACTGGGGGAACCGCCCGGGGCGTGGTGCACTGCCCGGCCCCGTTAAGCTAAGAGAGTAAGAACCCTTCTAGGCAGAGCCTAGGTAGGGAATCAGTATGATAAAGAAAGATATAATGAGAGAGACAGAGCAGAGAGCGAAGCAGAGACAACGAGTACGTGCGTGTATGTATCAATATATATATATATATATTCACAGGGAAGGGAGTACAGAGAGTGGTACACACACATTTCTTTATACATAGAGAGAGGGTCATCGAAACACTAGACTGGACGACAACGCATATTCGAACTAGACTAGGGCGGGAGGAAGGCCGATCGAGGCACCTGCGAAAACATCAGAATACATTGATTTGGGTTGTCTCTGGTGTAGTGTGATTTTGTTGTTCTTGGCATGTTTGACGCTTCGCGTATCCGCAGCAGCTCATCCAGCAACGATGCCCGAGTGAGTTAGTTGCCTTGATCAAGGGAGCACGGGAGCACGCAGTGGAACAAGGGGGGGCAGTCGTCAGACCGAAGATCGGGATTTGCCCGAGCAGGCCCAGGAGTCAACCCTGAATGCCTTCGCGGATCTTTCAATGGGAACTTCTTGGCAGTTTTCTTGGGCCATCCTGAGGGCCAGTTAGGGTCGTTTTGGAGCCCAGAGCGTCGCGTCTTGGGGCCTCCTTGGGGCGCTCTTGGGGCGCTCCAGGGCACTCTTGAGACAGTCTTTGGGCCGTGTTGAGCCCTCTTGGGGCCCTCTTTGGCCGCCTGGGAGCCATCTTGAGGCCCCAAGAGCCCATCGAAAGCTAGAAGCCAGATGCCTGGAGCAGCTGATCGAGTTCGGCAGCGAAGGGGAAACTCATGTGGATGGCGTAAATCTCAGGATCAGCGGCGTGCCCTGCCTGCCATGGACAACGGGAGCAACGACTCTCTCTCGCATTGAGCCTTGAGGGGCTGGAGTGCCATCGCCTGACCAAGACCTCGCTCCCCCCCAGTCAGGGCACGCCAACCTCCTCACGTCCTCTTTCTCCGCCTCTTCCCCTCGCTGTCCTTTCTCCCTCCTCGCCCTCATCACCCCTCTGTTGGGATCGACCTTCACCGCATCCTTCTGCTGGGAAGGCGCGGGCGTGCCAAGCGGATCTTGGTATTCCTCCTCTTTCTTGCAATGACCCCGTCTACCTTGCGATTCCTCTTCCTCTTCATCTCTCCTCCCTTCTCACGCGTTTCCTCACGGTATTTCTTGGGCGGTTAGGTAAACTTTTCACCACATTCTTCCGTGATGGCGGAGCACGCGCGGTTGATCCGGATGGGGTGAAAAACGAATGTGCGTGGCCGAAGGTGGCCTCATCCCCACGGCTGCTTTGGAGCCCCTGGGCCTCCCCAGGAGTCTTGGGGGCAAGTTTGGCCAGGACGGCACACCTGCGGAGATCCTCCGTGTGTTCTGCCGCTCTCCCTCGGCCCCCCTCCGCCCACGTTGGGGGGGCGATGGTGGCCCGAGCGCGCCGAGTCATTGCAGCATCTGTCATCGCCTCCACAGTGCAGAGAGCGATCGCCTATGGCAAGGCAGTGGCTTCAGCCAGCATGGAACATGTAACTCAGTTCCCATAGGGTTCCAGACAGCTGGTAGGATGCGGGAAGAAACTTGATCGTTGACACGGGGTCCTCCGCGTAGCCACCCGGTTCAATATTGACACGGGTGTGAGTTCTGACGTCGCCCTCATCATCCCACAGTCGTTGTGGCAGGCAAGTTCAAGCGACGTTGCTATGCCCCGCTGAGGCGTCTGACGCACCCATTGTCCATTCTTGGTGAACGAGTGAACTTCCATGCCTCAAGAGAGTCTCTGCTACCGGTATTCCCTATGCCACGTTGTCGTCGGCCCCACGCGAAGCCGCCCCGCAGGATTCATGTGCCAGGACGCCGCGTGCTCTCTTTCCACGTGGTGCCATCTCTTTCCCTCCTGTCGACTCCTGAACGATTTCAACATTGCTGCAAATTGTCCTGCATGCGTACGCCCTCCCGCAGTGCCGGAGCCGAGTCACGCGGGTGCCAGGGCTGCCCTTGCCCGGTTCGGGTTCAAACCGGGCAACGAATCTTAAGTCGGGCATGTCCCTCTACAGGAGGAATAGTCAAGAATTGTAAACAATAGTATGGGGATGTTTTCGATTATTCGTTTGACTATGTTTGATTTATGTTTGGCTATGTTTAAGATTTCCTCCAAAATCCGCCTGTAGGAGGACATGCCCGACCTAAAACGAATCCCACAGAGCAGGGACCATATGCCCGCTCCCCACAGCGGGCAGTAAGATGCGGCCAATCACGTGAGACAACAGCGTCCGCGTGCGAGTGCGTGCGTGCGGCGTGGGGGGAGGGGGGGGTGATGGCCGTTGGCCACCAAAGGGGAAACAAACTCTCCTCAGCAGGCGCCCATGTTTTGAAAAGCGTGCGGAACTTGGGGGGGGGCGGGCAAGAGAAGCAAGAACGCACACACGTTATGTTTCGCTACTTTGGGTGACTGTCACCGGTGCCCTTCGGAGGGATAGGGTTCCGTTCACGCCAGTTGTTTCGTGGCCCCGCAGTGAGCTCCACAGAAGTCCTCCGTGGCATGGTGTTGCAGAGCATCCGCCCGCCCATGTCAGTGAATCCTCGCGCGGTTCGTGGCCCCACAGGGAGCCACACCGAAGGCTGAATAGCAAGGTGCGGCATAGCGCCCCCCCGCCCAGTTCGGCACACCACTCACACGGTTCGCGGCCCACAGACAGCTCCACCGAAGGCCTCAGAGGCAGGGAGATGCTCCCTTTCGTCACGCATTCCCTGTGCAGAGAAGGCAATTCCCTGCCGCTTTGGGTTTAGCCCTTCGCCCGGCATATGTGTTGTTCCACTACCTTCCTGTGCTGAGTTGGGTCCTCGCTTTCGATCACCGCGTGCGCGTCTCCTTCTCCCTCTCTTCCTCCTCCTCCTCCTCCTGCTTCTCCTCCTCCTTCCTCCTCGTCCTCCCTGTCCTTCTCCCTCTCCTCCTCCCTCTCCTCCCTCTCCTCCTCTCTCTCCTCCTTCCTCATTCCTCCTTCCTCTCCCTCCATCCTCCTCCTCTTCCTCCTCCTTCCTCTTTTCCTCTTCCTCCTTATCCTCCTTCTTCCTCCTCCTCTTCCTCCTTCTCCTCCTCCTCCTCGTCCTTCTCCTCCTCCTCCTCCTCCTCCTCCTCCTCCTCCTCCTCCTCCTCCTCCTCCTCCCTCCGCCGCCTCCTCCTCCTCCTTCTCCTCCCCCTTCTCACCCCTCTCCATCATCTGCCCCCCGCATGCCCATGTCGGCACACCCCTCACGCGTTTCCTGGCGGACCCGCAGGAAGCTCCACCGAAGGCCTCAGTGGCAGGGTGCTGCGTGCAGTCCTTCCGCCCATCTCGGCACACCCACCGCACGCGTCGGGGCCCCACCGCCATCTCCAGTTTAGGCCGTAGTGGCAAGGCAATCGCATGCGGATGTTCCCCCCTCCCCAATTTGGTACACCCATCAAGCGTGAGAAGGGAAGGAGATGGAAGGAGCCAGGATCGACGAGGGAGGAGGGACCAGCGGAGGGAGGGAGAACACGTGAGGGGGAGACGGGTAGAGCCTTGACGGTACGCGGGCATCGCAGACTGGAACATCAGATACAGGAAGTTCGCATGCGGGGGAGATCCTTGATGGTGTGCGCGTGCATCGCAGACTAGAACATCAGAGACAGGAAGTTCGCGGCAGCTCCGAGCAATGGAGGGTCTCATCATTCACAGTTGAGCGGAGTTGTATCCATGATGAGCACAGCAATGCAGGCCGCCACCCAGTGTCGCACTGAAACATTGAATGTATTGCGCGTTATGAAAAAAGACAGCATGGTAACTCATTCTCAGAATATTGATAAATCCGGAATTCGAATCCGTACCGCGGGCCTCCGCTGCAGCCAAACACAAGAGGACTGTAAGACCGGTCGGCCCTCCTCGGACTTAATTGCGTTAGGGTCGGATGCCATACGTCATAAGTATTTGATCATGCGTTTGGTCCTACATAGTGCTGCTGCAAGGGGCCTTTCCGACCGCATTCGCAGGGCATTTTCTGCCGCAGCACCTGTCCTATATTCTGCTTGTGCGCCAGCGCAGTTGTCACTGCCGGAGTGGTGGAGAGACGTCCCTGAACCCAGGCCTGGCCCTCCAGTTCTCCAACGGTGCATCTCTTGCTCTCGCCGTTCCTTGCACACTGGTCTCGTCCAGATGCCTCCTCCGTCGCTTCCTCCAAGGGTGGTGACTTCACCAAGGGAGACGGCACCGGGGGAGAGTCGATCTATGGGCCGAAGTTCGACGACGAAAACTTCAAGCGGAAGCACACGAAGGCTATCCTGGGCGTACTTGCTCACATTGTGGATGGGCCTCCCTCCCTCCCTCCCTCCAGCCCTACCTCCCTCCCTCCCTCCCTCCCTCTCCCCCTCCCTCACTCCCCTCCTCTCCCCTCCCCGTGAATCATTTATCCTCAGCAGTCTGTTGGCCAGTGGAGACGATGTCTTGGCAGTTGCTCCACGCACCTCTCAACATGTTGACGAAACCATCGCGGGTAGAATGGAGTAAAGGGTGCTAAACCAGAAGGGGGACGAGGAGGAGGAGGAGGAGGAGGAAGCGGAGGAGGATCAGGAGGAGCAGGAGGAGGAGCAGGAGCAGGAGCAGGAGCAGGAGCAGGAGCAGGAGCAGGAGCAGGAGCAGGAGCGGGAGGAAGAGGAGGTGTCCCAGGTCAGGTCGCGTTTCTGGGGCACCAGGGGATCGAGTGGAGTCTACGTGGGGCAGGTCTCCTGGCGCCCGCGCTACGGCGTACCTGTCAGGTGAGATATGTTTGATCTTGGCACCGCCGCCCAGCCGAACCGAGCCGCACGATGTGCCATGCAGAATTCGTCGCACGCGCCTTCCGCCTGGGGGGGGGCATACTTCTGGCAGCTGTCACCTGGAGCAGAGCTACAGTGCAGGCCTTGGGGCAACCGTGCAGTTTTGGAGGGTCTGGCTTTTTTCGCTGCCTTGCACATACACCGCCCTGGCAGCCAGGTCGCTGACTTCCCCAGAAGCGGTGAGACACGCGCCGCGAGGCCCTGGATGCTTCAGCTGGCTCTTGGGAGTTCGTCATGATGGGCCTGTTTTCCACCACCACCACCACCACCATAAGTTGGAGGGGGGATGGAGGTGGAGGATGAGGAGGAGGAGGAGGAGGAGGAGGAGGAGGAGGAGGAGGACGAAGAGGAGGAGGAGGAGGAGGAGGAGGACCCCCTCCCCCTCCTACTTCTGGTGATGGCGGTGGAAATAATGCCCACCACGTCAGGGAGTCTGTGGGCCTCGCGCCAGCTCTGGAGGCCGCAGCGTGAGGCGCCCGTGCGGCCGCGCGGCCGCCCCCTCGTGTTTTGCTCGAGCGAGGGGGCAGTTCAGGAGGGAACGAAACACACAGACACAAGTGATCGTCGACTCCCAGGAAAGTATGGGAAGCGGGGGGGGGAAGACGAGAACCCAGAGCATATATGAAAACATGGGGAATCCTGGGATTGTGTGTATTTATTTGTGTGTCCCTGGGCCCCTCTAGCAGTGACCAGAGCGGGAGTAACTGCTGTCGCGACCCAGTGCCACCCTCCCAGCTCTCGAGACTTGACCACAGCGGCACCTGGAGAGGGAGGAAGGGCAGCTGCTTGACCCAGCTGCCACCTCTCGGCCAGCCGCGCGCCCTCTCTGGATGGCGAGCGCATGGCCGAGGCCTGGCGCAAGGCAGAGGCCGAGCGCGCAGGCGAAGGTCGAGAGCCAGGCGCAGGCTGGGCGTGCAGAGCGCACGGCACAAGGCAAGCCGGGTGCAGATATACCGCTCTCGGTGGAGGCCGAGCGCCAGGCGACGGCCATAGCTTAATTGGATGTTGGAAACACTATGGTCGTTGTTGTATGTTTAATCTCCAGCCTGTCGGTCTTGCCGGTCGATCGGCCGACAACGTGGACCTCAAACCGATCACAGCGACAGAGCCGCACATGTATTACAACACATTACACCTGCACAAACACGTTTCGCCAAGAACACCTGCAAACTAATTCAACAGCAGTCGGGTTCAAGCTGAAAACGGTATGCAACCGTACCCTCGCAAGCTATGTGTGTAGATTGGCCTTCGGCCCATCCCGCCACTGTGCCTGGGTTGCGGGTCAGAGTTCTCAGGGATGCTTCTTGCAGTCTCTTCTGAGCGCTCTCGGGGGCCTCTTGGGGGCAGTCTGAGGGCCTCTTGGGTGGGTGCCTCTTAGGGACTTCTTGGGGGCCTCTTGGGGGGCCTGTTGGGGGCCTCTTGGGGCCTCCTGGCGGCCCTTCGGGGCTGAGGGCTGGACATGTTCGTTCGGGTCCCCCATCTGGGCTTCCTCTTGGAGCCGTCTTTGGGGCCTCTTGGGCCGTCTTGGCCGCCTGTGGGGCCGTCCTGGGGCCCTCTTGGGCCGTTTTGGGGCCCTCTTGGAGGCCTTTTGGGCCGTCTTGGGGGCCTCTAGGGCCGACTGGGAGCGTCGAAAAGCCGAAACGGGGAGAAAGCCGAAACCTTCAACAACTTTCCAGAGCCTCAGGAAAATCACTGATTTGTGCCTCTTGGAGGCCCTCTTGGGGGGCCTCTTGGATCCTTCTTTGGGCGTCTTGGAGGCCTCTTGGGCCGTCTGGGGGCCATCTTGAGCGTCTTGGAGCGATCGTTCGGTGACTCGGGGCCCTCTTGGACCGTCTTGGGGGCTTCTTGGGGCCCTCTCTGGGCCCGTCTTGGGGCCCTCTTTGGCCCGAAATACTCGGGCGAGAACAGTCGGGGGAGCCTAGGAGAACCGCGGGAAGCCCCAAGAGGTTTGGGTTGAGGGGCTCCGAACCCTGCAAAGACCCTTCAGGAGTGGGGATTGAGGCTTAGAGGGGTAGTGAGAGGACCTGAGAGCATGCCCACTCCGTGCCCAGAGGCACGGTGGCGGATACATAGAAAGCGGTGGGCAATTAGGAAACACAGTTTTGAGGCGAACACTGCAGACTAGAACAAAGCAGCGCCCAGAGCGTGGTCAACATCCACAAGGGCCGTGGCCGCTCCAGGCCCACGACGGCAATTCTGCGCGGCGGTGCCACCGCTGGCCTCCGGCGTGGGCCCAGCAGCGGGGGCGGAGGCGGAGCGCACCGCGCGGGACGCGCGCTCGGCGGGGCCGGGCGCGAGGCACGGGCCGCGAGCGCCAGGCGGAGGCTGGAGCCCAGCCGCGGGCAGAAGGCCGCGCGGGAGGGGCAGCAGGCCGCACGCGGAGGCGGCGCGCCCGCGCACTGCCAGGCGCAGGGCCGATGGGGGCCGAGCGCAGAGGGCGTGGGCTCGGCGCGGCGCGGAGGCCGCAGGAGCCGAGGGTCCCCAGGGGACGCTGAGCGCTCGGCGGGGGCCGTGCCCTGCGCCAGGCGACTGCACGGAAGTCACTACCCATCAAGCCACCCCAAGCCAAGCCGAGGGCTTCACTGTGCCTTCCACTTCTGGTGGGGGGGGGGGTCGGGGAACATTGGAAAAGCGCATCTGGAACCCGTACCCCCCCAAACCAGCAATGCGGGTCTCTTCGGGTTGGGTTGGGGTGGTCTGGCAGGTACTCAGGAAGAGTGCCCCTTCGCCGGAGTGACTTTTGGTGCTCGTCCATTGGGGCCCCCCGATCGCCGAGTGCGGTGAGATAGTAGCGACCTGCGCGCCTGTGTTCGGTCCCCTCGCGGCCCTCAAAGATCCGCGCACCAAGTGTCGCTCTTGCCCACGGTCACTCTTGCGTGTAGCTGGGCCAACCAAAAGCGGCGTGCGAGACAGGTCGGTCGTCCTGAGAGGGCTGGCGCCTTCGGGGTGGGTCGTTGCGGGTTCGGATGATGGCGCGGCCGACAGAGAGGAGATGCGGTGAGGTTTCTCAGCGGCTTGTCGCTGCAGTGTTCCAAAGGTCTCGCTTCGCAGTGCCCCCGCCAGTCAGCGGTGTCTGTTTTGCAGGGGCCGTTTGCCCTCTCCGCGGAAGCCCTTCGCCGCGGATGTTCTGGCCGCCGCAGGGCCAGCGCGTGATTGTTGGTTTCTTCATGCCATACGATGTTACGCTACGCCATGCCAAGCTGTATCCAAGATTGTGCAATTCTGCTATGCCCTGATGTTCCAGGCGCTGCTATGCTATGCGCCGTGATGGTATACATGATGTGGCGGCTTCGCCTCAAAACGCTTGGCAGGTCATAGCAGTGCATAGCATGGCGTTGCATTGCATTGCGCTGCATTCGCACGCTTTCCTCATCGTACTGGTGCCCCTGGGGTCGTGCTGGGCACCTGTCAAGTTCAGTTGAACTTGAACGCTTAACATTTGGTGATTGTGAGCCATTGTTCAGATCGCACATGCGCACACGCCAGTCAACCTGTCATACGCAATGTAAGTGATGCACGAGAATGATTGCTAATGTCTGTCGCCTTCTCGCTCAAGGCACTTCTTTCGGGGAGTCATTCTCTGAATGGCCACAGCCCTCGTCGGAGCGGGGGCTCACTGGGTCGCGGCGATCGGCGGCCAGGCGATAGGCACCTGGCTCGGCAGCAGCAGCAGCGGGTGTCACTGCAGCTGCCACTTCGACGCCTCGCCCGACGAGGCCCTCATCGGGCTGTTTAAAGGGCAGCTCGACAGGTGCGGTCCAGAGCACCTGCACGGGCAGCCGACGTTCACTCCACCCTGCCCTGAGCCAGGGCACACCCGGCTGGAGCTAGGCCTCTCGCTCGTGCTCGGCCTGGTCCTGGGCGCTGTGCTTCGCGAGGTCCTTGGCTGGACGACAAGACGACGCGCTCGGAGAGAGACCCAGTCAGTGACCCATGGCAGCCTCACGGACGGCCAAGGCCCTGGAGAACCTGCATGTGGGTACACGGGTCCTCGCCTACTACGAGCAAGAGGACAATTACTGGCATGAACGGATTTTGGTCGGCAGGATCACTGCGACGAGAAGGGTGGTGGTCACACCACACTTCGACATCTACGAGGAAGACTTCGCGGACGCCCTGCAGCTCTGTCCAGTCGGCCCCCTCGGGGGCCTGCCCACGAAGCTCTCGGGCCACATCCCCCGCATGGACATGGACCGCTACAAGCGGAACGAAGCGAGGCTGCTGGCTGAGGGCAAGCAGCTTGCTAGCGAGATCCGCCAGGAGGAGGGCCTCCCCGACGAGCCACTCGGGGCGTTCGCGCCACCGCCGGCACCTGGCGGTGCTCTCGCCGTTCGAGCTGACGCTGGTGACGCTCCTCGCTGGGTTGCCTTGGAGGCCCGAGCTGGCTACCGACCAGGTGACGAGCTTCCAGCAGGCACCGTGCCCGTTGCCGTTCTTGGAGATCGGGGGATCTGTGAGCTCGCCGATGGCAGCAAGCTGGCCGTCGCGAAGGCCGACACCTACGAGGGCACTCCGACCCCCCGGCAGGAGCGTCAAGCTGCAGAGCAGGATCTTCGGACTCTTCCTGTCAAGTACGACGCCGGCGGCACCAGGGTCAGGGACTTCGCCGAGGCGGTGGACATCATGTCCTCCAACCCGCAGCTGGACTTCCCTGTCCTTGGGCCGCGGACAACCTTGTGGCTGGTGCAGCAGTTCAAGCGGCTGGGCCAGACCCCTTTTCAGCGACACATGTGGTGGAGGCAGACCCAGAACCTCACCGCCGCGGATGCTGGAGTTGATGAACATCAGTTCCTTTCAGAGCTGCTGGAGATGGGCGCCGAAAAGGACCAACTCAATGAGGGCGAGCTCGCGACCTTCGAAGCTGTGTCCCGACGGTACCAACTTTGGGAGGAGGTCTATGCCAACAGACTTCGTGAGCACGAGGCGGGCGCGGTTCGCAGTGCGGGGGGCTCAGCTTGGCTCGACGAGCGTGAGATCTTCTTGGGACAAGAGCGTGGGCGTGGCGGAGCTCTGGTTTGTCCTGCACTTCAGAGCTGGGTGGCAGCCCGTCTCCAGGAAGAGGCAGCAGTACTCAAAGAACGACGCAAAGGACGCGAAGAAAAGATTATTGCTCGAGGTGGTGTGGAGGAGAACAGCACAGCCAGGCCGAAGTCTAAAGCAAAGGCCAAGGGCGGTGCTGACGGGGCTTCCTAGCCCCATCCCTATATCGAAGTGGCTTGGTCGCCCGCCTGCCCCCGAGCGGTCGACTATTCTCAAGGGGAGGTGCTGGTCTTACGGCACTATGTTTTGTGACGACGGCGGTGGGGGGCGCCATCGAGACCTACTTCCTATTCCGACCGGTCCGGAGCTGATGTCGATGCTGAGCGGTGGGGCTGCATGGGGCACTTCGCTCACAGCACGGAGGAGAGCTGCGGCCAGGAGGCGACAGGATCAGCGGCTACTCGACGGCATCACCTCCCTCAACGAGCTGGGGGGGCAGGGGCGCCATGTGCCCGCCCTCTCCCCGCTGACGGCGGCCCAGCGTGCTGCGCTTAGGCGGCTGGCCACGACCTACCGCAAATGGTCGCCGCCCGTTGATCGCCCTAGTCCCCATGAAGCGTGGAGGACGCTACAGGGTCTCAGGCCTGGCTACTCGGAAGTCGAGGCCGCCGGTTCTCGAACAGTCTACCAGCGGGGAAATATCTCTCTTCCCAAGATCGGCGCGGGCAAGGTGGCTCTTACGGAGGTCCTCCCCGCTGACCTGCAGACCAAGCTGGAGACTGGGCGCGGGCTGTTGCGATCCCCAGTGGAGGCAGCAGCGCTAATTCGTGATGCAGGTGCTCCTCGTGCCATGGGCCCGAAGCTCGGGCGGCTCGGCTACGACTACGGCCGCGCGCTGGGGGAGCTCTACACCTCTGGAGTGATCGAGGCCAGCTCGGAGCCAGTGTTGGAGGAAGCTGGCATGTCCCTGAGGTCCTGTGTGACAGCTTTCCTGTCACGATGTTTCTCGTGACAACATATTGTCACGAGACGTCTCTGTGACAAGATTTTGTCGCGAACCACTGTCGTGACAACATGTTGTCACGACGACTGCGCGCGAAAAAAAACAACATGATAATCACAATTAATTGTATTATTTTGGCACGTGAGTAAACAAAGCTAGCGGTGTTGAGCTCTTGGGTGAATACAATACCATATCAACATACGTGTGTATATAAGGCGCTCTGCCGCGTGGCGGGAGGGGTTGGTTGCCAGATGCCGCGCGAGCGCAGCAACCTAAACGCGTTTGCGCGCCTATTCGAGTTGTTGTAATCTTGTATTGATCCTCCTCCTCCTCCTCGTCCTCCTCCCTTCATCGTCCGTTTCCGTCCTCCTCCTCCTCCTTCTCCCTCTCCCTCGTTCTTCTCCCCCTTCTCCTCCTTGTCCTCCTCCGACCCCGCCCTCCTCCGCCCTCCGACATCTCCGGTTGCCAACCGTGCGCGGGGGGGGTCCTGGGCTGATGATTCAGCCCCCGTCCTCCCTGCCCCCCCCCGCGGGAGCTTCGAGGCTCGAGGCATGGCTCCCAAGAAGGGAATCGTGTCCACGCCAGTCGCGCGGGCGGCGGACGCAGGGACCGACGATGGCGACGCCGCCTGCGACGACGACCCGCTGCTCGCGCTGTGGGGGCAGCGCGTCGCGAGCCCGATTGCGTGCCGCGCTCGGCGCGCGGCGCGCAGTCGATCGTTCGGGGCCCTGATCTATCGGTCGGCTGCTGGTCGACCGATCGGGGAAGGAGGGGGGGAGGGCGAGGGGGGGGGGGGAGAGGGGGGGGGCAGGGTCGAAGGGGAAGGAGGTAGGGCACGGAGGGGGGGGCGGAAGGAGGGAGGGAAAGAGAGAGGGGAAGGCGGATGGACGGAACGAGGAGAGGAGAGAGGCGAGGGAACGAGGGAGGGAGGGAGGGAAGGAAGAAGAGAGGGAGAAATATATACATATATATATATACACAGATAAAGAAACAGAGAGAGAGAGAGAGAGAGAGAGAGAGAGAGAGAGAGAGAGAGAGAGATAGAGAGAGAGAGCGGGGTGGAGGAGGCTGAGGCGGGTCGCGGGTGAAGGGAGGGGAGCTGGATGATGGCGAAAGGGCATGGGGGGCGATGACGATTAAGGATCAAGTACACGACGGTGATGGACGACTCGCACGACGAGCTCGAGCTGAAGCGGCACAAGGACCTGATCATGGCGACCCGCAAGCTGGGCTCGATCAGCCAGAAGCGCGGCGAGGCTACGCACGGCAAACGACGAGCGCACGCATGCGCGCGAAGCTGATGCCGCTGCGCACCTGACTCGACTCACCGCGGCGTCACCGACGTCACCGATATCGGTGACATCGGTGACGCAGCTGCGATGCGGGTCAGGTGTGCAGCGTGATCAGGCTCGCGCCGGTGCGCGCGCATCGTTTGCCTTGCTCGGCCAGGCTGTGCTGCTGCAGCTCGCGTTCCGCAACCGCGACACATGGCGCTTGGCGAACGAGGCCAAGCCGTGGGCGGGCGACATGGCCAGGTCCATCCGCGTCATGGTTCGCCACGTCGGGAGAGCGGTCGGAAGGACCGATTTGACACGTTCTGGAGTGAGGGGTAAGTCACAGGAGGAGGAGGAGGAGGAGGAGGAGGAGGGGGGGGGGAGGAGGAGGAGAAATAATGCGGAAGACTGAGGAGGTGGCCAATGCAGGTGGAGAAAGTGAGGATGGCGGAGGAGCGTAGAGCAGGAGGACGAGAACGGGGCGGACAGGCCACGGAGGGATAGGAGTAGCAGTCGGAGTAGGATCGGGAGGAATGAGCGGAGGCGGATGGTGAAAGATGATGAGGGGGATGAGGGCGATGCTGGCGGACGCACGGTGAAGATGAGGAGGTGGAAGAAGATGAGGGGATGAGGATGAGGCGGGCAAGGGGGGTGGCGGAGGAAGATGAGGAGAAAGATGAGGAAAAGGAGAAAGAGGGGGGCCGATCAGCCGACAGGACTGACGTGCCGAAGTGGGCGCAGGAGTTCATCGACGGCGCTGGCACAGCATCCAGGGTCGACTCGGCCGAGGACGGGACGTTTAGAAACAGTTGGGAAGGGTGAGGCGGATGGATGGAGGAAGGGGCGGATAGAAGGAATGGGGGGGTCGTCGGAAAGGATGGAGAACAGGAAGTGGAGAGAGAGAGAGAGAGAGAGAGAGGTATAGGGAGGTAGAAGGATGGGAGTGGATGATGATGAGATGGAAGAGGAGAGAAGGAGGAAGAAAAAGGATAACGAGGATAATGGACACTCCAGATTTCGTAATAAAAGGGAGGGGGCCTGGACCCTCCAAGACAAGTCATTTCAGACATCCCCCGTGGGAGAACCCTCCAAAACATCATCCCCCGACCCCCTGGGCCCTCCAAGATAGCCTGGACGAGACCCCCCCCGAAATGAGACCCCCCCTCACTTTATTACGAAATCTGGAGTAAAGGGGTGCGATTCGTGAACGACGACATGGAACGGAGAGATGGCGGAGGAATCGGTCACCCCCCCCCCCCCAGGAGACTGGCACGCGCATGCGCAGGCCAGCAGCTGCCCCTCGCGTCGCAGCTGCGCGCGCTGGCGAGGCGACGACGACCGTCGGCATCTGGGAGTTCGGCTGGGACAATGAGCTGCAGGCAGCGAGGGTGATAAGGGGGGAGATGGTAACCTAAGCTAAACTACGCGGAGGATGGAGGAGGAGAAGATGACGGTGAGAACGGGATGAGGAGTGGGATGGTGATGGGACGGGGGGGGGGAACTCGATGAGGACGAGGACGAGGAGGAGGGCGATGCGGGAGTAAGAGGGGTGGGTGGATGAGGAGGGGGGGAAGGGGAAGATGAGGGGGACGATGGTGCGAGTAGCATAGCACGCCGACGATTCCAGCTTACCCCAAGGCTGCGTGGCGCAGGAAGGTCGACGGCACGACGGCGAACGACTACACGACGCCGAAGCTCATCGACGGCCGCTGGACGGCGGCGTGGGGCGGCGCTGTGACGTGGGAGGTCAATCGGGGGCTAAGTCGCCCACCCCGTCCCTGCCCCTAGCATCGATGAGGAGGACGCGAGGATCGAGAACACGACAAGCAATGGGAGGATTATGATGGGGAGGTGGTGGTGGAAGGGTGGATGGAGGAGGAGAAGGCGGAGGAGGATGAGGAGGAGGAGGAGGATTCTTGGCACTAAGAGGGTTGCGAGGATGGCGCTGGCGGAGGACGAAACGACGATGCAGAGCGAAGGGGGGTGAGGATAAGGATGGGGATGAGAGAGAATATCACTGGATGAGGGATGAGGGACGTAGGCGGAGGAGGATGGAGTTTTTTTTTTCTCGGCCAGGTGCCTGGCGACCTCGTGGATAGCCCGCAGGCCAGCAAGGGCAAGGACAGCGACGCCATCCTCTGGCGCGGCGTCAAGGACGGGAACGCCGTGCTGGCGAGAACCGTCAAGAAGAAGGACGCCATCTGGTTGCAGGTGTGGCACCAGCCGAAGACGCAGGTCCTTCAGCTCATCGTGGAGCCCGAGCAGATGGCCGCGGGCAAGACCTGGATCGTGCATGCGGCGGAGAAGTGGGCCAACGGCAGCATCACCAAGGCGGAGATGGAGGCGGACAAGGCGAAGCACTTCCCCAGGAAAAAGAAGGGCGAGGTCGGCAAGCGGCCTGCCAGCAAGGGCGTCGACTGCGCCGTGAGCCACGAGGTGAAGAAGACGAAGATTGCGGACGAGGACATCGCCGCACCTCATGGCGAAGATGATGATAATGATGACGGTGAAGCTGAGGATGACCACGCCGAGGAGGCAGAGGAGGGCGACCAGAGTGCGCCCGAGGAGGAGCCAGAGGAGGCCGCCGCTAGCGCGGACGAGAGTGCTCAGGTGCTGGCAGGGGTGCTGGTCAAGCCGAGGCCGAAGGCGACGGCGTCCGCGGCCTCGGCGACCAAGGAGAAGTCCTCCTCGCAGCAGCCAGGCGCCGCGTCGTCGTCGCAGGCGGCGGCGGCATCGGGCACCGCGCCGAAGCAGTCGCCGCCCGCCGAGCCGATGAGCACGCCTGGAACTCAGGCGTCGGCCGCGCCAGCGCCGAGGCCCCAGGCGCCAGAGTGCCCTCCCATCCCGATGGGCATGGGGGGCTTTTGCTTTTGATTTTCCTGCTGTGCTCCCGTCGCCGCCAGAACTTCGGATCACCGCTGGCAGATTGGATGACCCGACCCCTGGTGTCCCTTGAAGCTTCCAGGACTTCACGCGTTAAGCCCACATCATTCTGATACTACATCTGAAAGCGGTGACGAGCATTGGCAGCAGTTTGGTTGGCTCGCGTGAAGACGCGCAGCTAGCGTCGTGCGTGCACGCTCCACTCGGCTCGATAACTTGCGGTCGCGTGCAGTGTGACAGCTCGAATGCGCCTCAGCGCTGATGATAACGAGGAGAATGAGCACGGTAAATGATGGCGGATTGGTGGAGGATGGGCGGTGGCCAGTCGAGGATACCGCGAGGGGCGGGAGGAGAGGATGGCGATATAGGATGAGCAAGGGGTCTGAGAATAAGAATAATGATGAGGGGAAGTTTAGTAAACTACCAACCGCCAAGGCCCGTAAAGCTAATGCCTCCTCTCCGACCCCCCCCTCCCCCCATCCAAAACTTATTTCGCCCATTATCAGATCAGTCGGCACGCGGGGCTCTCGGATAGTCACCCTCGCTCGTTTCGCGCCACCCACCTGCGGCCTGTCAGTCCTCCCCACTCAGGGTGCCGACGAGATTGGTCCTGGTCATCCGATTCACAATTAGTATAATCATGGTCCTTCTACTACTCCTACTCCTGATCCTGCTCCTGCTCCTGGTCCTCACCCCCTCCGTTGCCATCGCAATAGCCGTTTTGGCTGCTCGAGTGCCCTCTCGGGCGTTCACATGGGCAAGAGTGCCCGCAAGCGCCCTGCGACCTCCCCAGAGTCTGACATCGCGTGGGAGTTCCCACCGCGCGGCGCCTCGCACACCACAAGGATCGGCAGAATGTTGACTGGAGGTGGCAGCGATGTCGAGCATGGCACGTGCACGATGATGGAGATGGCGGTGGCAGATGTGCCGAGCCTCAGCGACGCAGCGTCGCAAGCCTCAGGGTCGGCAGCGACCACGATGACAGTTCCCGACACGCAGGCCAGGGCAGCAGAAGGCATGTCGCTCGAGGAGGCTCTGAGGCTGGGCGAGGAGGCGAGGAAGAAAGCAGCTGCACTGGAGCTGCTCGTCAAGAACCAGCGGGCATGGATCCAGCATGCAACGAGCCGCCTCAGCGCCCTGGAGACCCCTGTCGACCCTGCTGCATCGCCCGCGCGCAGCCGCGCGCCGCGATCGCCTGCAGAGCCAGCGGCTAGCTTGCCAGCGGGGCCCGCGCCCGCATCGCCCGCAGCGCAGCTGGTTGAAGCGTCGCCAGTGGCGGCGGCGCCCCAGACGCCATCGCCAGCGGCGGCGGCGGCCCCGACGCCGTCGCCAGCAATGGCGGCCTCGACGCCAACGCCAGCGGCGGTCCCGCCTGCAGCGAGCCCGTCGCCAGAGGCCCACCCGCCCTCTTTTCTGGCATCTTCCCCTTCAGCGCCTCTGGTGTCTCCCGAGCAGGTCGACTCGCCGAAGACAGCGGAGGATATGGAGCTCATGGCGCAGGCCGTCGCGGAGTCGCAGAAGCTGGCCCTCACCGAGCAGGAGCTCGCGCGCCAGGGGGAGGAGGTTCTCGCGGCAGCCTTGGCCGCGAGCAAGCGCGACGCCGAGGAGAAGGGCATCGAGGCGACGGAGAGCCCGAACCCCACGGCTCGGCACAGCTGGGAGGCGCCTGGGGGGGTCGACAGCGGCAGCTCGGGTTCGACGCCGTGGCCGCACGATCGTCAGCCCGACATCGTAGACTTGGCGGAGTGGCGCGCGGCTCGGCCCCAGCGCAGGAGCGAGGTCGCCGACGCAGGAGCGGCAGCCAGCGCAGCGGCGGTGCCCAGCGCAGGAGGCGCAGCGACGAGTGGTTCCTTCGTCGGCGGCAGCGGCAGCTTCGGGGGCGAGAAGGACGACGAGGCCCCCTGGAGACCATAAGCAGTTTTAGCTCGCTTGCTCCTCGATCGCCGTAGTCGTCGTTCTCGTCCGTCGTCGTTGTAACAGGTCGTCGTCGTAGTCGCAGGTGTCGTCGCCGTCGTCGTCGTCGTCGTCCTCGTACTCGTCCCAACCTTAGTCGTGGATGCACGTCGTCACCCTCTTCCTCGACCATCCTCCCTGTCTCTTGCTATCCACTATCCTCTCAGGCCGTGGTGCAGACGCCGCCCAAGACCGCCAGGCAGCGCGTCGCGCGCGTGGAGAGCAGGGTCACTGCATTCGAGGATTGGTATTGAATATGTGTGTACTACTCTCCTTAACCCATTCCCCATGCAACGCAAATCACAAGAATACCACCACCACCCCCTCGCCTCATATTCTCATTCAGTCATGCACAGCGCATTTTGCGCGCGTCACCGCTATATCACCGCGATGTCACCGCTGCGTCACCGCAACGTCACCGATGTCACCGATATCGGTGACATCGGTGACATCGCGGTGACATCGGCGACATCGCGGTGACGCGGCGGTGACGTCGGTGCGTGGGGGGAGCTTGGCGTGACCAGCTCCGATGAGCCCCACAATTCCCTTTGTCAGCTGATCTATGTCAGTCGGCTACTTTGTCTGAAAATCGTTTTTCAGACCCGCCGAGGACTGCCTGCGATCGAGCGACTCGATCGACGAGCTCGCCATCAATCAGCTGCTGCTCGACGCCTTCAAGAGCCAGGACGTCAACGAGATACAGAAGCTCCGCGGCACCGACGCCAAGATGATGATGTCGACGCACCTCGATTCCTCGCTGGACTCGGTCTTCGAGATGCCAGCTCCCAACTCACAGAGCGCGCCGCAGGTTGCGGCCAGGGAGTCCGAGCTCGACCAGATCGACACGACAGGCTTCAGCGAGGACCAGCTGTCGGAGTTGGCCATGATGCGCGAGCTCGAGGGCAGCGACTTCAAGTTCCTGGCCCGCGGGAGGGCGGGGAACCCCATCGCCAGCCGGTTCAACCGCGCGAAGGCCAAGGACAAGCAGCTCGATGACGCCTACAAGAAGCTCTCGGGCAGCCAGAGCGACCAGTCGGCCTTCAGGGCGGATTGGGCGCAGAAGGTGTTCACGAACTACGTGAGCACGAAGCGCAAGGTGACGACGATCTCCAGCACGAAGTACCGCAAAGGGCAGTACATGCCGCTGGGCAGGGTGGCCCACAAGGAGGGCGGCGGCAAGCTCGGCTGGATGCAGGCATTGGGGATCAATGCCCTCAAAGCAGGAGCGATGAGGGATGCGAAGCAGGATGAGGAGGAGGATGAGGAGGCGGAGGCGGATGATGAGGAGGAGGAGGAGGAGGAGGAGGAGGAGGAGGAGGAGAGGGATGGGGGAGGGAGGGAGCGAGGGAGGAGAGAGGGCGAGGAGGGGGAGAAGGAGTATGAGGAAATGGAGAGAGGATGGGGAGGAGGAGGATGGGTATAAGGAGGAGGAGGGGGATCACCTCTCCTCAGGCATGCAGGCTGTTCCTCAGGGCCATGATGCTGGGGCCGCCGTGGATCGTCTACGACGTGGTCACGCAGAGCCTGCGGCTGCTCTACGTGACGGAGGGCATCAACGTGGCGTTCAACGAGGCGTGGAGCATCTTCGAGCAGTGGTCCAGCGACGCTGTCGAGAGCGAGGGGGCCGCGAAGAAGCGCGAGCAGGAGGTGTGCGGTCTACAACAAGCAGCCGACTTCCAAGTCTCGATGCGAGTCGTGGCGCGCGTCGGTCGAGCGTCGTGCGCGACTCGACCGACGCGCGCTGGCGACTCGCATCGCGTCCATGTCGGTAGGTTTGTTGCCCCAGGTGGCGCAGTGGGCAGAGGCGATTCGCAATGATCGACTCGGGGGGAGGAAGGAGGAGGATGAGGAATATCAGGGGGGGAGAAGATGGCGAGGAGATGAGTGAGACGGGGGAGGAGGATGAAGAGGATTAATACGATGAGGAGGAAGAATAGGTGGAGGAGATGGGGGCGGGCAATGAGGGGGGGATGGGGGTGGCGATGAGGGGGGAGAGAAGGATGAGGAAGAGGGGGGGGAGAAGGAAACGGATCTGATGAGGAGGAGGAAGCGGGGGAACATGAGAGGATAATGAGGAGGGACGGGGTGGGACGAGGAGGAGGAGGAAGAGGAGAAGGAGGAGGGGAGGAGAAGGAGAGTGGCGCAGACCTCCCGCAGGAGATGAACGGCGGCCCCGCAGCGCCCAGCCTGAACGGCGTGACGCCTGCTGCGGCGCTTCCGCATCCAGCAGATGCACCTCCGCAGCCAGCAGCTGTACCTCCACAGCCAGCAGATGTACCTCCACAGCCAGCAGATGTACCTCCACAGCCAGCAGCCGTACCACAACAGCCAGCAGCCGTACCTCCACAGCCACCAGCAGTACCTCCACAGCACGCCGCCGCCGCTGACGGTGCTGACCAGAGCGAGGGCAACTGCAAGAAGCGGAAGAAGACGAAGACCACGGAGGACGGCACCGCGGCGGCAGGTGCGCCAGCGGCGGCGGCGGATCACCCAGCCAAGAAGTCGAAGTCTGGCGGCGGCAAGGCTGGCGGCAAGGCTGGCGGCAAGGGTGCTTCAGGGCACAGTGATGACTTCATCAAGAGCTTGACTTCAGATGTCAAGAAGGGCATTGCGAGGTACAACCAGATCATTTCGCACGCGCTCACGGTGGTGACGGGCTTCGAGAACGATCCCCTGTGGTCGTGGGCCAAGACCGATGAGGGAGCGCAGCGCCTCGTGTCCTTGTACCACTCGATCCAAGCGCAGAAGACGGTGGACATGAACAGGGCGCTGATCGAGCCGCTCCCGAAGTTGCGGAGGGACATCGGCGACGGCGCCTACGTGACGGCCTTGACCAAGCTCAATGAGCTGAACACTACGTTGGACGAGATCGAGCAGGAGTGCACGGCCGCCTACGATGTGCACAAAATCAAGATGCAGCGCCTGAAGGCCCAGTCAGCAGCTGACGGTCAGTAATCGTGTTAGGCGGCACGCCAGCATCGCGACCCGTACCCCCCGAGGGCGCCAGCACGCGCCCATGCAGCAGTGTTTGTTCGGCAGAATGTGCCTGCCTGCCTACCAACAAACATGAAAATGCAATAACACATAGAAAAAACAACAAATAGGGGCGAAACCTTACGTTTTCCTGCTGCTACCCAAGATCACCTGAGTCACCGCACCGGTGACCACCCGGTGACGTCACCGATGTCACCGCACCGGTGACCTATCGATGACATCTACGTTTTCATTGTGTTTTTACAGGGATTGTAGCGGTGACACACCACACGTCATCTCACCGGTGACATCGCGGTGACCGGTGACTCACCGGTGACTCTCCGGTGACTCTCCGACGACATCGGAAAACAGTGAAATCAGGTGAGTTTGGGTAGCGGATGCTAGGTTCTTGGGCACACGTGGTTTGTCGTGCGCATTCGCAGCGAATGTGACAGGTCAGCAGGCAGTTGCGACAAGTGGGGCTGCTTGACACAGCTGCTATTTAAGAACTTCGTTGATTTGCGAGCTGGCGTGGAAGGCAGTTTAGCGAGTACTTTAAGGCGCGTGCTGGGAGAGTGGCTCGATCGTTCGAGCCAGGGCACGCGCTGAGCGAGTTTGGACGTCCTCGCACTCTGGTCACTCGCCGTCTGCCTTGCCTGCCCACGGATACCCCAGATTTCGCAATAAAGTGAGGGGGGTCTGATTTCGGGGGGGTCTCTTCCAGGCTATCTTGGAGGGCCTGGGGGGTCGGGGGACGATGTTTTGGAGGGTTCCCCCGCGGGGGATGTCTGAAATGGCTTCTCTTGGAGGGTCCAGACCCCCTCACTTTTATTACGAAATCTGGAATATCATTTTGCGGGTGGCTCACCATGCAGACTGCGACCGCGATGCTTCGCGGTGTAGTGGCGAGCGCGTGTTGTCTCTCTCGCGCAGCAGGTTGCACTTTTCCCACTGCGTTCAAAATGTGACTCATCAGGGGGAGGCGCGAGACGTGGACCCCTAGCCAAAGTGGGCACCGCGGGGTGCGTTGATAATTGCGATTCTGCAATGCCATCGTCGGCCTCGTTTCTCGTGTACGTTCAGTGCAAGGCCTGTTTGGGGAATGCACAGCGGGGAGCTAAGGGTGAGCCCCAGCTCCTTACAACACCTACCACCTGTGACACGTGGTCACTAGCATCATCATCAGCATCACCACCATCGTCATTACCAGCATAATCGGCATCGTAGTCATCTTATAGCGTCGATCCCTGTCGATACCCTTCCACTCATGCGTCTGTACACCCATTAATCACGCCAAGACACAATCGCACGCACTGCACGACCATATCAATACGCACTATCACATGTCAAACGCATCGTTATTTATCATGATCGATGTAGCTTTTTTTTTCTCTCAAGAACTCGGGCGTCGGACAGTCGAACATGGCGCCCAAGAAAAGGCGCAGAACTTCACGCACTATACACTCTTGTCATAGACGATGGACGCCCACTAGCGCTGAATCCCGCATAGCGGGCGAGTCGTTATTAAAGCTGGCCTTGCAATTGTACGCATCGTGCAAAATCACGGCGATGGAGTTTTGCAACCTCTGCCACTACGCCGACACGGCTGGGGTGCCAGGCGCGAACTTCGCGCAGTATTCGATGCCCCCTGGCAAACAATCAGGAAAGTACCAGCAGCTGTTATCGCAGATGTTACCTGAACCATCCGGTATGATATACATCGCCACTCCTGTGAACCTCAACCGTAGTTTCAGACGCACTGTGCGGAGCACTCCGACGAGGTGCGCGTTCCAGGCAATCGAGGAAGAGATAACATCATGCACGGACACCGTGGACATGCTTACATCGAGTCCAGATTCCAGACAGGAATGTGTTCTCGATTTACCGTGCTACCAACGCCACCCCATTGTGCTGGGCGCCTTGGCAAAAGGTGAACGCCAGCCCGTACCTGTCGCGGTCTACCTGGACGGTGTGAATTACATCAGTGCTGCGTCAGGGCGAACCGATAGTACTCTCGGTATATGGCTTATTAATTTATTAACGAGTACACGACACCTCGTGTCGGTCACGAGAAGCTCCGACAGCTGCATGTGCGGCTGCAAAGGCTGGTGCACAATCTACCCACATCTAGAGGCTACCGCTTGGCAGGTGGCTGCCATGTCCGACGGCTGCCGCCCTGCGGTGCAGTACGACGGGACGGTGTGGTCAGACGACATGCCGTCTGGCCCCCTGTCGTACCGCGCCGCCCTGATCTGGGTGAAAGGCGACTGGGCAGAACATAGCAAATCACTTGGATTGTCCAGTTGGGCGTCAGCTTACAATCCATGCCAGTTCTGCGAGACGTCGCTGGGCGAACTGCACCAATCCTACGACCATCTCGGCCCAGACATGACGTGGTTGTTACGGGGGCACCATGACTACGAAACAGCCTGCGCGAGGTGTGAGAAACGCGTCACGGTGCGAACGCAGGGCGAGCGAGAGCAGCTGCTACGAGACTTGATCACCGCCAAAGGCAAGAAAGGCATCAACGGTAGGGTCCTTTCTCGGGATATAACTATAAATGACGTGCCTCTCCTATGTGGGGATCGGCTAGAGCCGTCACCGTCCTTGCAAGACACGTTCTCGCTGGAGACGTCCGAGCTGCCCGTGGCAATAATATTCTGGCGATCAACGTACGATAACACAGGTGGCAACCGCAAAATTGTGGACCCAGTGAACCACCGTTGTCCTTTATTTTCGTTACGTCTTGGCACTAGCCCAGCTTGGAGCCTTGCCATCGACTCATTACATTGTCTGTACTACGGTCCGATCATGCGCTGGGTGAGCGCATCGTTATGGCGACTGCTGTTGTACAACGTATATGCTGTGCGAGGCAACTTGGACCAGATATTGGAGGTCGGTGCTCGACGACTCCAGGCTGACATGCTTCTCTGGCAACACGAGCGCAATGTACCTCATGCTCTCAGGCTCGGCAAGCTGACCCTCAAGATGTTAGGTAAGAGGCTGGACCGCACATTGGAGGACACGTGTCACACGTAAAAACACGCAACCTTTAACAAACTTGTAACATTAAATAGCCCAGCCACGTAATACCATAGAACAATAGCCCGAACGAACATGTCATTCTCCATGTACGTTCGAAAAACCTGCTTGCCGCCAGGAGCCTCGCCATGGAGGAGCTCCACTGTCGTTGAAAGCAGCTGAAGTCGGCTACATGTTGCCTTTCGCCCTAGACATGCTCGGCCGACACGGGGGCTCGGCGAGGTTCGGTTCTCCGCTCATCCACGCTGGCGCGTCCCTGGAGACTTTCCTGAGCGAGATGAGGTCGCACGCATGCGTGGTGCCGACCAGCAGTATTGCCATCATGACCAACGCCATCATCATTCACATGAGATCATGTACGCTGGCACGCATCACGCTCACGCCGAAGCACCACCAGACATCGCACCTCGTCGACAGGACATGCGTATATAAACTTAAGTTTGGGCCACTCGAGTGAGGGGGAGGAGGTAAGATGATGGAGTGGATGACGATACGTTATATACTGCATACGAGGATTATGAGGGGGGAGGAGAATGAGAAGGAGGATAATGATAATGAAGATACGGATGAAAGGAGTGACGCGGATGATTAGGAATTGGGCGGGAAGGAGGACTGACGGGGGCACGGGGGTGGTCGCGAGGAGGGGAGGCCCTGGCCAGCGAGGGGGGGCAGCTGCTACACTGTGGGGGTGGCTGGGGGCCGTCTCGTAGGCGAGGTCCGAGATTTCGAGGTGGTCCAGCCGCCTGGCGTGAGCCGGTTTTTGCGGGGGCCGATCGGGTCGCCGAGCCATTCGCCCACCGTGCTGTCACTCCTCTGCTCGTCCTCGCCTTCCTTACCTCAACTCTTCCTCGCATCACTGACATTCCCTCGCCCCTCCCGCCTCGCCACAGCCCCCGCCTTCCCTCCCCGCCCACCCCACTCCCCCTCGCCCAGCCTGTCGAATGCGAAACCTCGTGAGGATTCCCGAGCACGGTTCTCCGAAGATGTACAATTGCTTCATTGACGAGACTCTGAACAGCGCTTTACGGTCAGTGTGTATATTTGCCCATCGGTCTCGGTTCGAGCACAGGGTGTTCAGTTTATTTCATTTGCAGCACCTGCTCAATATCTGCCCGTTCTTTCCGCTCGGGGAGAGCATCTGTCTCCTTGCTGGCGGATGCTGACAACGATCATCGTGCAATGTATTGCGGTGACGGCGCACGGGGTGCAGCCACCGCTGGTTGATGGCCTGCAGTGGGCAGCAGCTGGGTCAGCAGAGCTTGCCAAGAATGGAATTCGAGAGATCATGTTTTCCGAGGATGGCGGCAGTGAGATTGCCTTCTCCGCGGCCGTCGACTCTTTGATGGGATCGATGGCCGCCATCCCCCGCTCGCTCGTATTCGCAGAGCTGTTTTCAGGGAAAGCTGGCATCTCTTTCCACGTCGCCAGGCTCGGCCACAAGAGCGCCACCTTCGACCGAGTCGACGACGGCGCCGCCCAGAACATATGCACCGTGGCTCCCGTCGGGCAAAACACTTCCCCACCCCTCTCATCGCTACCGTTTCGGGAGGAATGAGGAAAGACGAGGACGATGAGGTGGAGGACGTGGAGTGAGGCGGGGGTGGAGGACGTGGAGGACGATGAGGTGGAGGACGTGGAGGATGAGGAATGAGGCGGGGGTGGAGGAAAGACGAGGACGATGAGGTGGGGGGGAGGGGGAGGGGGAACAAGAGACGGATGATGAGGAGGAGGTGGAGCATGCACGGGAATGAGGATGGGGGGGCCCGACATGGAGGATAATGAGGAGGTGTGGGGGAATGATAACGAAGATGACATGGGGATGTTACTACACTGACTGTCGCAAGCCCTCGCAGGCTGGGCTGCTGTACGCCATGTACCTGGTGTGCGCCGTGCTCCCGTTCGGCACCGTTCACTTCGCGCCGGAGTGCAAGACGTGGCTGGGACTGTCAACAGGCCACACCAAACGGAAGAGGGGCGATACCACAGGAACACCGTCACGGACCGACGTTCTCCACGCCAACTTTACGGCGAGGGCAATGTCAGTCGGGACGCTTAAACGCTAAGGGGTTATCCAGGGCCCTGCACGTGCGCACTCCCAGCGCTGCGTTCCGGGGGTCTCGTCGCAACCAGGCTGGATCGGCCTCGATCAAACTCGAAAACGCCGTGGGCTGTAGAATGTGACGAACGTAATCTCTCTGGTGTGATAGCGTGTCTGGCGGCGCACCAACGTCACCGATGTCACCGTTATCGGTGACATCGGTGACGGCATGCGATGATCCATGCTGATCCTGGTGGTAAGAACTGAACGTGTAACCTTGCGCATATCGATGTCACCCCGCCGACCTGGAGGGATGCCATGACACATGGAGGCATGGATGGTGGCGGGGGTGGAAGTGTGGTACGGGGTGGGGGGGCGGACGGGGGATAAGGATGAGGGGGGAGAACAGGCGAGAGGGAGGCAGGAGGAGGCGGAGAAGGACGACGCATGCGAGGATAAGGATGGCGAGGGCGACGGTGAGGATGACGATTATATACGGCGACGGCGTGCTATGAGCACAGGAGGGCGCGATGAAGAGGAGGAAGAGAAGGATACTGAAGAAGATAAATGGGAGGGGGATGATGCGGGGGAGGAGGAGGATGATAATGGCGAGGGGGCATCGAATATGCGTGGGGTGCGTTGTCGACCATCGGAGCCACGAAGGTGTTTCCTCTACTTCCTGGCGGGGACCAGGAGCATTTACGCATCGGTGGAACAGCCGCTGGCGAGCCTGCTCTATTTTGATCGCAACGTACGGGCAACCCTGACGAACACGAGGTCCGAGTACCTGTTTCTCTGGATGGGCGGATGGGGCGGCCTGTCGATGAAGCCCACGGCCATCTGGAGCACTCTTCCGAAATCACTTCTGACGCCCCTGTACAGGTCAAAGCAGCAAGCCACCGATCGCCTGGACGGCGGCAAGCAAGCTTTGACTGTCCGCACGCCCCGCAGGACGCACTCCAAGGGGGGCTGGTCCAAGAAAGGGTGGACGTCTGGGGTCAAGCCACTCATTACTTTATCTGCAGAATACCCAAATAGTTTTTGCGCAGCTTTTGCCAGCGCCATCGCGTCAGCGTTTTCGCCAATCCTGTCGGCGGGCGGGCCGCCAGGTCCGTGAGATGTTTGCGCGTAGCTCGCGATCGTGAGCCACGGACGAATGCGAGCTGGTCTTGGGGGGGGCGCATGAACGAAATGCCGATGTAAAGAAACGCTGGGTTGAATGGTGTGACTTTCAGGAGGGAAACAGGGATGCGGATGAGATGGGAGGGGAACGGTGGTAAGCTGATTAAGACGAACACCATGAGAAACGCAACAACAGCACAAACAAACGCGCCCCCCTCAGAGCGGCCCGCCTGCGACGAGGATGCCGGGCACGAGCTGCTCGGCGTGCATGCAGCGCCAGCCTTGGGCGCGCGTTTCGAATGACCTGCGGACGAGTTCCGAACTTGCATGGCAAACACTAGCAATGCAATATCAATGATGGGTCCGCTGAACCCTCCCCCGCCCACTGACGCCCCATCACATTCGGGGGCCCACCCGCCCAAGATCCGATCCCGCGACATTTCACGCACGTCACCTGGCACGGCAATCTGGCATCGAACGACGAACGACGCATGTAACACGCACACACACACACACACACACACATTCTACACCACCCAACACCACCTCCGCCCCACATCCACCGACGATTGCCAACCAAGCGACGCGCGGCACGTCACCGATGTCACCGATATCGGTGACATCGGTGACTGTGCGGTGATGGCCCCTCCTAGTCCGTGTCTTTCGAGCGGGGGTGAGGTGCGTTTCGGTGCGCGGCATCGTGTGTTTGGGCACCATGGCATCGCAATTTAGATGACACGACAGTTTTGCGCGGGCGTTCGCGTAGGTGTCACTGTTTGCATATATAGCGTCCAGGGCCCCTGGATACGCGACGCGCCTCGTGATCTCAATGGGGGGTATCTGAATGACCAGCTGGGGCAACGCAGACCACGCGGCGTCAGAAATCTTAGTCTGCCTCGCGTCTGGATCGTGGTGAACCCATCCTCAGTTTTCCTCATGCGCTCGTTCCTGTTCGCCCTCATCGCCCCTCCCTCCCAAATCCCTTCTCCGTCAGCCTCGTCCCTCTCATGCCCCACTGGGGCAACGCGTCAACTTTGTTATGGGTCACAATTACTCGATCCCGCCCCACCGTCCCAGCTCGAAGGTTTTGCCGAGTGGTTTGAAGGTTCGCACGCTGGACTGATAACGTTGGGGCCATCACGGATGGCGACATGGGGTTTACAAATCCGATCGGCATGCCGCGTGACATGGTCGACCAGCTCGCGGCAATTCTCTCGATGAGGCTGGGGCGGGATCACATTGAGCACGCCAGTTGGCATCGACAATCTTGAACACCATGCATTCGACAGCACGTTGCCAGCGGTGCACATGTGCTTCGACACACCACCCATACTGTTTGTGACCCCGAAGCAGCCAACCGATGCCGAGAAATTGCAGCCAACGCACGATGAGCAACGCAACATGCATACAAACGATCCGAATAATCATAAAGCAACCGAACCCGATGCGCGAGACAGCAAACGCAAATCTTCGGATAACCCCGATCACAAGACAACGCACGCGGCATCAGCAGGGGGACCGAAAGGGGAGCATCGTCGATGAGATCGGGAGCCCACAACTTAAGAACTTGAGGCGGCATGCATCGAATCGACGCCACGCATGCGTGCCAACTGATGCCGAACCATTTGATGTGACAGTCGGGTCCCCCAATATTCGTCGGTGCCCCGTCCCCCATCCGTCCCCCCCTCCTCTGCCTCACCATCCCCCTTCCCCCCATCCTCATCCTCATCCTCCTCCTCCTCCTTGTCCTCCGTTTCCTCCTCCTCTTCTTCCTCCTCCCCATCCTCCGCCTTTCCCCCTCTTCGTCCGTTTGGGCTTCCACCACGTCCGACCAGTTGAGTTTCGGTGTTCCTCCTCCAACTGCCAGTCCGTTCCCCCCCCCTCTCCCCCCCTGCATCTGCGCCATCGCCGCGGCGCGCGAGACAGGCCGAAGAACCCAGCCACGAGCGCGAGCGCTCTCTCTCTCTCTCTCTCTCTCTCTCTCTCTCTCTCTCTCTCTCTGAAGATTTAAAGGCCACAATCGGCTAAACGATCGCACCGACGCGGCATCTCCAGGCGCTGGAACTGGCAGAAAACGGTTTCGCTTAACTCGGGGGGGCGGGGAGATCTTGATGACGCAGACGCAGGGGATGAGAGGGGAGAAGGAAATGACGGGCAGCTGGAGGATGACCAACGCAACTCAACAGGTCGGATGAGGTGGACGACCAACCTCACGAAGAGGGGATGATGACGAGGAGGAGGAGGAGGAGGAAAAGAAGGACAATGAGGAGGAGGAGGGGATGAAGGGGGACGATGAGGCAGATGAGGGGGAGACGGATGAACGAAGGGGCAACGACGAAGATGGGGGAACCCGACGTTTGAATAACATGTGTCCGTATCAATATTTGTGGCGTCGAATCGATGCATGATGCCTCAGGTTCTTAAGTTTTGGGTCCCCGATCGCATCGCCGATATTGTTGCACGTTCGTCCGCCTGCCCACCGTCGCTTTGATAGTGTGCGCCCTGCGCGCAACCATCCGACAACGATCACCGAAACGCACCGCCCCGCTGAAGGACACCAGCCAGGTCGCATCTGGCGCGTCACCGATGCCACCGATATCGGTGACATCGGTGACGCGGCGGTGATGTGGCTTGCAGGCCTGGCGCCCTCGATGCGAGGCGGGCGCTTCGTCGCTCGTTAGTTGTGGGCGCGTTCTGGCCCCAGGGGCGCGCCGCCTCGAGGGCGCCCGCCGTCGCCGCCGCCTCCTCTTCCTCCTCCTCCTCCTCCTCCTCCTCCTCCTCCTTCTCTTTCTCCTTCCCTCTTCTTCCGCCTCTTCCTCCTCCATCTCCGTCTCCTCATCCTTTTCTTCCTCCTCCTCCTCCTCCTCCCCCGTTCCATCCTTATCTCCATTTCAATCCTTATCCTCCTCTTCCTAATCCTCCTTGTCCTCGCCCTCCTCCTCCTCCTCCTCCTCTTCCTCTCCCTCCTCTCCCTCCTCTCCCTCCTCCGCGTTATGTTGGACAATTTCGTAATTTGTATTTCGAGTCGCTCGCGACCTGCCCGCGTCTCGCTCGCGACGCGTACCGTGGCCCGCGGCTCGCATGTGATTTGCACCTGCGTTACCGCAGCCATGTCATAACCTCACTCTTATCCGCAATTAACGCAAGAAAATCATAACGATTGACAGCCATGCGAATCGAACTGCTGCAACGATCAACATGCGATGGCATCGCGCGCAACATTCATATGTTACATTTAAGATGCAACAGAACATAGAAAATAAAACTTTTTGTGCGTCGCGCACAGAAAACAGCGATCACAGAAAATGGCGTGACAAAATGTTGTCACTGCCTGCTAGCATCTACTGCGCGTGACCAAATATTGTCACGAAAAATTTCGTGACAGAAAAGCTGTCACACCGGACCTGTGGGGTTTTTTGTGGCTCGCAAGGACAAGCGGTTGCGTCTCATCTGCGACGCCAGGACTCCCAACATGCACTTTACCACTCCAGAGCACACGGCGCTCGCGACGGGCGAGGCGTTATCCTCGCTGGAGGCGTCAGGAGTGACTATGATCGGCATGAGTTCTGGAGACGTCGATAGCTGTTTCTATCAATATGCATTGCCGCCCTGGTGTAGGCGCTACTTCAACCTCCCGCTGATCGAGAGTCGCTTCCTGCCTCCAGAGGTTCGGGGCGCCTGCGGGCTGACGTTGAAGAGCGGCCAGGTTCGCTTTCGATTCAAGGTGGCGCCCATGGGATGGAGCTGGGCAGTGCACTTTATCCAAGAAGCACATCTTCACCTCGTCAAGTCAGTTTTGCCATCGCAGCCGTGGTGCTTGGACAAGTGTCCCGGCATTGACTTGAAGTCTGAGGATGCCAAGGTCCTGTACATAGACAACTTTGCTGTGCTGTCCCAGTCGTCCGACCGCGCCGCCGCCGCCGTCGCCGACATGCAGGCGGCGCTCGCGGCCAAGGGCGTGGTCTCAGAGCTAGACCCCGCCCCAGCAGGGCGCGGCGAGCTGCTGGGATGCGAGCTCGACTTGCAGACGGGCTGCTGGCACGTGCTGGGCCGCCGGCTATGGCGAGTCTACGGTGCCCTCGAGCATGTCCTCTCGGGTCGGGCCAAGGTCTCTGGCCAGGAGCTCGAGCGTCTGATTGGCCCCTGGTTTCCATCCTGATGCTGCGCCGGGAGGGGCTCGCCATGCTACACTCCTCATACGAGTTCGCGCAGGCCTCCTACTCCAAGAAGCAGCCGCTCCGGAAAAGCGTGACCCGTGAGATGGGCTGGGTCAAGGCGCTGCTACCTTGTCTTCGGGCCGACGCCCGGCGCCCGTGGAGCGAGGTGGTCACTTGCTTCGACGCGTCCCCCTGGGGCTACGGCATCGTGGAGACCGAGTGGGACCTCGAGGACGCGCAGCGCGTCGGCTGGGTCTCCGAGCGCGCCCGATTCCGAGGCGTGCTCGCTGCCGAGGGCGCCCCCCGCGAGAGGGCGCTGGAGCAGGAGATAGCGCGGGCACCGGAGCCCGCCCTCCTGCTGGCAGGTCGCTCGGCAGGCTTCCCGGAGGTCGACTACGGCAAGATGCACGCCCGGCCCTGGCGCGTAGTCGGCTGCGGCCGCTGGAAGCGCAAGGGGGCCATCCACGGACTCGAGGGGGCCGCTCTGACTTGGGCCGTCCGCCGGGCAGCTAGAGACGCTCGGGAGCACTGTTCTCGCCGACTCTTTCTTGGCGATAACATGTCCCTCACTCTCGCTGCTGCCAAAGGTCGTGCTGCCAATCGTCGTCTCTTGGGAGTCTGTCGGGTCCTCTTTGCAGCGGGAGTCGCAGCAGATCTGAAGGTTCAGGTGAGGTGGCTCCCCTCAGAGTGGAACCCAAGCGACGGTCCGCCCCGACGCTTTCAGCCTCAAGGCCCCAAGAGCGTGCATGGAGGTGGCGACGCTCCGGGCGGCGCCGCCCGCGCCGGTGGCCTCGGCGAGCTGCCGCTCCGGCCCTCGCGCGCCAAGCGAGCGCAGGAGCCGTTCGCCTCGCCGCCCAGGCAGCCGCTGCCAGGACATGCCGAGGCGGGCCGTGGTGCCGGTGCTGGCCGGGCCCGGGGGCAGGCCAGACTTGGCTGGGCGGCGCGCAAGGCTTGGCCTCAGTCACTCGGAGAGCGACTTCGACCTGAGGAGGCGCCAGCTGTGCCCGCGCCAGACCCGCCTTGCGGCTGCCAAGGTCAGGCCTCGCACGCAGGAGCTCTACCTCGGGATGATCTTCGGCTTGGTGCGCTGGCTGAATATGGCCTTCCTCCCGGACTGGCCGCGCCACACGTGGGGCGAGACGCTGGCAGAGTACGCCGAGTCAATCTACGACCGTGGGGGCTCCAAAGCGTCTACTCAGCGTCTGGCCCCTGCGCTGCTCTGGGCGGAGCCCGCCCTCCACAGGGCTGGGATCCGCGAGGTCTTCCCCCTGACGCACCAGACACTGAAGGGCTGGAACGTCCTGGAGCTGTCCAAATCCAGGCCGCCCGTCCCGTTCCTGGTGGTGCGGGCAGTGGCCTGCTGGCTGTGCCGTGCTGGGAAGCCGCTCAGTGGCTTGGCCGTTCTGATCATGTTCGAGACCTACATGCGCCCTGTAGTCCTGCCGCTGCCAAAGGAGGGAGGCGCATCGATCTTCTTGACGTTCGTGGTGCGGGCCTCGGAATACGAGATCCCGACCAAGACCAACGAGTACGACCTCTCAGTTCCACTCGACCTGCCCAGGCAGCAGTGGATGGTGGACCCGATCTCCTTCGTGCAAGCCCTTCGCGGGCCAGACGACCTCTTCCTGGGCCTGGGCTACAACCAACTGGCGGAGGACTTCCAGAGCGCGACCTCCGCTCTGGGCGTGAGCTTACTCAAGGCCACCCTCTACTCCCTCCGGCATGGAGGGGCCAGCCACGACCGGAGCACGGGCGCCAGAGGCTTGGGCGCCGTGCAGCAACGAGGGGGTTGGAAGGCGTTCAAGTCCGTGCTGCGCTACGAGAAGCACGGACGCCTCTCGCTGGAACTTCGCAAGCTCAGCGACCAGCAGCGCGAGGCCCTCCGAGCAACAGGCGGGGACTACGCGGGCGTCTTCAACAGGTCCTTGGTGCTGCATGCCTGAGCGCGCCACATCAGACAAGAGCGTGCATCGAAGTCTTCTTGGGATGTGGGGCGCTGAGCAAACATCTGAGACAAAGAGGTGAGGCTGTTGTTGAATGGGACATCCAGCGCGGTGACCATTTCGATTTGTCTCGACCGGGGGTCTGGAGGATCCTCCGGGGATGGCTGACTTCTGGACTGGTCAAACTCGTTTTCTTAGGAACTCCTTGTGGCGGGTACTCGAGGGCCCGTCGGGCCCCCCCGTCCAGCTGCATGCCCTCGGCTCTCCGGAGCCCCGCTTTTCCCCTTGGGATCCCGGGCCTCACTGGTAAAGACCTCGAGAGCCTTCGCGTCTCTAACAAAGTAGGGTGGGTCTCACAGCGTATTCAGCGCCTCTGCTATAGGTTAAATATTCCAGGCGGCGAGGAGAACCCCTGGCAAAGTTTCCTGTGGCTTCGCCCCGACCGCCGAGCCTTCGCTAAGCTTCCCAATGTCTGTGATAGGGTTGTCGATTACTGTGCCTGTGGTCGCCCCTTTCGTGCTCGCACTCGGATAAGGTTCTGGAAGTGCAGCCCACACCCTGGTCTAGATAAGTTAGTATTGAGGTCGTCAGATGCGACTTATCCCAAGCCATTGAAATCTCCAGCATCCGAACGCCAGGGGAGTTATAGTACACGGTAGCATCTTTTGGAAGTTCGCTAATGTTTGCAAACTGTTTGCCTCTCGGGCCATGGAGATTCGAGAGCATAATAACATCCTCTGTCCGTTCGGAACGCTCGCAAATGTTTTCTCCTCTGGGAAAGGGTTTTTCAAACGATGGTACGTTCTCGCGCGTGTGATGTCCTCGTTCGACTCGTTGGAAGAATGCCTGGGGGGTTAGTTTCAAACGTCTTCCTCACTTTCCCTCTGGAATCATATGTTTTCCTTCCGTTGTAAAGCTTTTCTTTGTTTCATGTCGTTAATCATGCCATGTTTGTCTTCGCAACCGTCGTTCCCCGCGAAAAAAAAAGGGGCCCCATGCTGCGTGCTCTGATGCGTTCGCATTGTGATTTTCCAACGTTTAATTTTGCCCGCCAGATTTTACTGGGCCCGCGCTCTCGGAAGGTGGTTTCGGCTGTGTCCGATAGAGAAGTCGCCGTGCGGGGCGACCACCAGGAGGGAGGAGGGAGGAGGGAGGAGGGGGGAGGGAAGAGGGAGGAGGGAGGAGGGAGGGAGGAGGAGGGAGGAGGGAGGAGGGAGGAGGGAGGAGGGGGGATTTCGCTGCAAAATGACTTCGCAAACGAGCCGCCCGCCCGCCGACAGCCGATAATAATGTCGCAAAGCCCGCCAAACAGAGCAACAACTTGCAAAATAACACATCGCGTGCAAATGCCTAGGCGGCGCAAGGAAGCAGAGGACGGAAGAGACGGAGGAAGCAGAGAAGGAAGCAGAGAAGGAAGCAGAAGGAATAGACGGACGAGACGGAGGGCGGAAGCAGAGAAGGAAACAGAGAATATTATTATTATTATTATTATTATTCTTCTTCCCTCGCGTCCGCTCTGCGCCGTGCTCTGGTGCGGCCCAATGCCCTTCGGGGTTAGCTTCACTGCTTCGCGCGTCCGGCGCCTGGCCAGACTGGGCGGCATTTCTGGGAGGTTTCACCGCGCCCCACCTCCCCCTCCCTCCCCCGAGTTCCCTCCGACCTTTCCCGATTGCCAGCTCGTCTTCCCCGCCCGACAGCCTTTGCTTTTACTTCCCCCCCCCCTCCCCCCGCTTTGTTTCTCACAGAAGGGCTTGGAACTTCCCAGAAATGTTGCCTGTCCCGTGGACGTCGATGCCGGTTCGGACGAGATCTGCGGCTCGGACGGTGATGTCTTTGGCTCCCCTGGCTCACCTGCGGCGTCCGAGTCGGCGCGCCAGCGTGTGCCCCGCGGGCGCCGCCGCCGCAAGGAGTTTGCGGAGTACCATTCAGGACGATGATCGGGAATTGGGTGGCGAGGTGATCGGTGATTCCAGCTAGGTGACCTAGCTGGAAACACCGATCACCTCGTCTCGCCCTCCCTCGCCTTCCCTAGGGCACCTCTGGAGACCCTATGTTCTTTCTTTGGGTTCTCATGGGCCCCTCTTGCGGCCCTTCCTGGGCGCTTGGAAGGCCTGAGAGGGCCTCGAAAGAAGGCCCCCAGAGGAGGCCCCCAGAGAAGGCCCCCAAAGAGGGCCCCGAAAGGCCCCCCAAGTGCGCCCCAGAAGGCCCCCAGAGACCCCCGAGAAAACACTTGACAATATCACCCGGGAGGGGCGGCACTTGCTTGGGAGCCCCAGTGATCCCAGGACCAACGCGTGTTATGATTGTCGTGGGCAACTGCGCCAGGGAGGGCCACTGGCGCTGGCTTACAGATACTCAACTCTCCAGCCTTGGCGTGCACGTGCCAGGAGATCCTGATGGAGGGGAGGGGAGTTGGGCGGGAAGTGCTGCATTGCCGCGGATGGGGAGGAAGGGGATTAGGAAGAGGAGTAGGAGGAAGAGGAGGAGGAAGAGGGGGGCGGGGAGGGACAGAAGCGGCGATGTGAGTTTGCCAGGTCGGGAAGGAGCTATTGAGACGGGGGTGGCGAGTGGGGAGGCAGATACGTTATTGGATTGCTCCTGGTGCGGTCTTGGGAGTTTATGGATCCCGATTGCGCTGACGCTGACCTTCTACGATTATCTTCCTTGCGGAGGGCCTCCAATGAGAAGCGCCTCGCTTTTGTTGCCTGCCCCATTCTGGACAGGTGCTGCAGTTTTGAGTATATGCTTGAGTTGGACGCTGAATGCCGCTCGGGCGTTGAAATCACGAGACTCTTGCTTCGCGACCAGATCTTTGAATGCCCTGATGGTGCAAAGTTGAACCTTGGAGACCTTCTGAACAGGTGGAGAGTTGACCATGACTTCTTGGACCCGTTCGCTTTCCCATTGGCATACGAGTGTTGGAGCCCTTTTGCTTGGTTTCTGACGCACTCATCGGTTGGCTTCGCCCACGTGTGTGACTTGACGTTCAGAAATCGTTGTGAGCATCTCGCGTGCCCCGACGTGCCGTCTCGAACAGTGCTGAAAAAAAGCGGTTGCTTACTTTCATTTGGGTCGCCCGTCGGGCGCAGAGGATATTGCGAATGCCGTTGGGCCACAGCAGTGGGTGTTGCAGTCACTTGCGGGGCGCGCGCCGCCCAAACCCAACGTTGCGCACGGTTGTGCCCGGGGGGCGTCTGACTGTCACACAGTTATTCGGTTTCTGAAGTTCAGTCTGAATTTGAAGAGTCTCGAGTTGTGCGACAAAGCTCTCGAGGCTGGATTGGAGGCGCAATTTCCAGAGCGGGCAAAAGAATTGCAAGTAGAAGCAGTTGTGGCCCCCAAGCGCACCGTTCTTTTGGAATCTAGGAAGCGACTCTTAGCGACGACTCTATTGTTGAGGCGATCGCAGCACGTTTCTCGAGTGAAGAGTGGAGCGAGGATTCTCACGACGCTCGCGGTCGACGCATCTTCGAAAGGTGGGGCGAGCAGCGAAACCCGATTGAGGAGGATAGAGGAGGGTGAGAACGACGACGAGGGAGGGGGATAATACGAGGAGGCACCTAACACCGAAGATGAGAGGAATCACGCGCATAGGAGCTTGCGCGGCGGGGATCCCTCGGGGGTCGATTTCTTGGGCGCGAAGACGATCGTGTTTCGCCCGTTGCCGCCTGATCCTGAGTGGTCCTGGAGCGTCTGCGCGAAGGCGCGAAGATAGCCGCGCGCCGCGAGGTGCGGGGGGTGGCAGGGCCATGCGCGAAGTTAGGTGACCTCAACCCATGCATAATCCACAGTATGGGGCTCTCTGGGCGCCCAACATTGCCGCTGGATCCCTTATCCAATGACTCCTCGTCCAACGCACCCAATCCCTTATGCAATGACTCCTCGTCCAACGCACCCACATTAAGCTAAAGGCGAGCTGGGGCAGAAGAGTTGGAGCCTTGTTGGGGTCCCCAGGTGGGCTTCATTTGCAAGCGGGCTGGGTGGACCAGGTCATCGACGGGAGTGTCGAAGGCTCTTTTCGCGTCCAACTCCCACTGGTCCAGCTTGGCTATGGGTACACTTCTACCGAAAACAAGGTGCATGGGGATCTTCGCAACGCGTGCCCTCGTTGCGATCTGGTTGTTCCCCCCCCCCCTGTCCAGTTGTCCACCCACCCATCGCCAGTTTTTTTCTTCTAGCGGTGTTGGGGATCGGGAGGGGTTCAAGGGCCCGCTCGCGTTGTTCGGCCCGCAGAGGTCTTTTGCTTACTTTGGCAATTATGGTTGCTTCATGGGCCCGGGGAGGCGGAGATGCGAGCTGCGCTCCAGTCGACGCGTTGGATTCTAACAGACTTTGGAATTGAGTCGATGCTCCACGAAAGTCCAGATTCCCTGCTAAGTTTTCTCATGCTGCTGAAAGGGGTGCCTCTTGCTGATCTACCTCGCGCAGTCAAAGGCGAGAGCTTCTTATGTCCTAACGCTATGGTGTTTCCTGGTTGGCACCACATGTGGGACAATTGCCTCAAATTCTGTTTGATGACTATCCCGTGGGTGCCAGATTTTCTGAAGCTCCTGAAGGCTGTCATATCGTTTTTCAGGCTCGATGCGAAATGGGCGGGGCATGGGGCATAGGTTTAGGGTGGGTGCGGGGACATCCATCCTATTCCTCCTCCTCCTCCTCCTCCTCCTCCCCCTCCTCCTCCCTCCCTCCTCCTGCTCGTCCTCCTCCTCCTCCTGCCCCTCCTCGTCGACGTGCTGCTGCTCTACTGCTCCACCTCCTCCAGAATCAATCCTGGTCCCGTCGCCCGGCGCGGGCGGGGCCCCAGCGGCCTTTCCCTTAGCCGCCCTCCCGAGGCAACCCCATTATCGCGAGGCTGTGGCGTATTGGCTTTAATGCCATGGTGAACCAGAGCTCGCAGAAGATCTCAAGTCCTTCGGAGCGAGCTTTGCTAAGTGGAGATGGGGGACGCTGCACCGCTGCTGCCAGGCGAGTTTGAAATCTCTGAGGCCTCTCATTCCTTTCATGACCTCTGTCATGCGCGACGTTTTTTCCAAGTCGAATTGTGACAAAGAGGAAAAGGAAACGCAGTCCATGGTGAAATGTGCATTCGAAGATGCGACCTGGTGGAGACGTCTATCTGCCATTGCACGCTTGGCGAGGGATTGTAATATATGCCGCACTTGGGGCAGCGGCTGCCGCTGCCATGAGTCCCAGCTGCTGGAAGGTAAAACTGTGTATTGCCCTTGGAAAGGCCGCCGCCTCAAAGAGGCGAGAGCTTACATATCTACTGCGGTCGAGAACTTCCGCGTCGGCCGCGCTGCTCTGTTCGCCCCGGGCGATTTCGAAGGACCCCCTGGTTGTTAGAAGTTCGTAGTTCTGTATTCCATCCAGTGCACCCTTGGGCGCCCTGTTTCATTGTTGGCAGCGCCCCCCCAGGCAGAAAGCACCCCGAGCATCCCTCGCTGACATAGGCTGCGTTTCTAGCTGTCTGATATCTGCTAATCTTCATGCAAGAGGGCCCTATCGGGCCTCTCCTCGGGCCTACTGGCGGCCTACTGGGGCCTCGGAGCAGGCTTCGAGAGAGCCCCGAGCGGGCCCGAGATGGCTCCGAGAAGGCCCCCCCTTCTTTTCTTCCATCCTCCTTCCTCGCGGTAGCTCCCCCCAGGAAGATTGGCGCACGGGGCGCAGGGGGCGGCGATGAGGAGGAGGGGAGGAGTATGGGGAGGTGGAGGGAGGAGGGGAGGGAAGGGGAGTGGAGTTGTTTTGCGTTTCAAGGCGATCTCGCGCTGATGATGCAAATGACTGGTGCGTATACCGTACTCGCAGTAGAAGTTGAACAGAAGTTTGAGTACCTGCGTCGGGCCCCGTATGCATTTGCGAACATTACTGTTCAAGCTGTGGCAGCTGAGTGCCTTCGGGAGTTTGAGTTGCTACCAGAGAATCAGCACCACCGCTCGATCATTCGCGTCCTGGGCGCAGCTTCCCCGCTTCGAGCAGCAGTGGAGAATTGCGCTGCGACTGGACAAGTGCTTCCCGAGCTTCAGCGTGAAGAGGATGAGATAAATATGTGCAAGCTTGCTGAGGACTCGCTGGAAGGCCTCCACCGCGCGGCATTCAAGGAGCGGGAGAGGGCGAATGCGGCTCTCATCCCATGGTTATCGTCGCCAGCATGCGTCCACGACAACATTCAATTTTACGAGTCATTGGTTGAAACGCAGCAGGGGAAGCTTTTGTTCGAGATTGAATGGGCGTCATATAAGAGGCTGGTGCAGCCGCCGGGGAACAGGCGGTCCGTCTTGAGACCGAAACGCATGAGTGATAAACGTTTCTATCAACAAGTGTTTCGTACTGGGATTTGCCACAATGTCGATTGGAGCAGCATCCACATCGGCGCTCTTCAGGTTCACGAAGACCATGCTGTAGTCCCTGCGCCCACGGGCGTGCTAGCGCACATGCCACCTCGGCGCGCAGCAGCCGTGCAGTCTGAATATTTGTCGGCGCTGCTAGGCACTGGTACTTCCACGTACTACACGGTGAACGTTGAGGAGCAGAGGCAATGTTTCCATCTTGTTGGCGCGCTGTCGAAGAACAAGAAATATGTTAGGACCAATTATCGCCAAGCAAAGACCTTCGTGCCGTGCCTCGTGCAGCGCATGGAGTTCTTGAGGCAGGGCGGAAACACGATCTACGCATTCGAGGAGTCAAGAAAGATTGATTTTCTCAGCCTTGCCCCATTCGAAGAGCTGATCGCTGGGCTTCGCAAGTGCGTTTTAGCTGTATCTGACGTGGCAGGGTGCCTCGACATCGTGGGCGAAACGCCACTTGAGTTGGAATTGGGAGTTGATGGCGTCCTCGCGATCGACTGCCCTGAATATCTGGTCACGCGGGAAGCCCATAGATTAGGCTGGACTCCTGGAAATATTCGCTTGCCACATCCGTCCGATCAGGTACCTCCTGGGCGCTATTTGAGCAACGCCAGATCTTCCAACACCCACTACTTACAAGTGCTTCTAAAGCTACGGAGTCTGCATGGAAAGGGTCTGCGTTCAGTTGCCCTCCGTCGCCCGCAGAGTTATTACAAGCTATTGATGCTGACTGATACCCCAGCTGACGTTGTCCCCGGCTGCTCTGGGTCTCAATATGAACGAGCTCTGAAATCAATCAAGGCTGGCGAAGACTTGCCCGACTTCCGTCCTCTGGTTGATGCCCCTCGTGCCCCTGCAATCGTGGATGACGAGATAGTCGGTGACGTGGTTCCGCCAATGCTTTTGGCACCAGCGCTAGGAGATGGTCATGATGACATTGCAGGTGATGTAAGTGATGTGTTCGACGATATTGCAGGCGACATCGAACATCCTCCTGATGCTGAACCCCCTGGCGCTGCTGGTGGTGAACCTCCTGGTGCTGGACCTCCCGGCGCTGATGGTGATGAACCTCCTGGTGCTGGACCTCCTGGCGCTGAACCTCCTGGTGCTGAACCTCCTGGTGCTGGTGATGCAGGAGACATCGAACATCCTCCTGGTGCTGAACCTCCTGGCGCTGCTGGCGATGTCGGCGATGCCGAGGTATCCCCGGAGGGGTATAGGTCAAGGGGGGAGGAAAGGGGGAGGGAGGAGGAGACAGAGGCGGAGAAGGAGGAGGAGGGGGAGAGGGGGAGCAAAGGATGATGATGAGCAGGAGGCGGAGGAGGACGAGGAGGAGGATAAGGATGAGGAGGAGGAGGATCAGGATGGGGAGGAGGAGGTGGAGGAGGAGGAGGAGGATGGAGGCTTTGGTAGGACGCTTTGGGCGAGTGGTGATCCCTACCAACTTGGCCTGAGGGGGAGGATGAGGAGGAGGGCGAGGAGGACGAGGAGGATGTGGAGGAGGAGGGGGATTCGGGATTCGCGAACCCTCAACGCCCTCTGTCGCCAGCCGCCTGCCAGGTATCTGGTGAAGACGCTGCCGCTGAAGGCGGCGGCGTCGACGATGAGATCGCAGACGGCGCCTTCGTGCCCCTCGGGCCCGACGACGTCCCGTCGCACATCGGTGGGTGCGCGTTGTCCTATGAGGATTTCTTCGACGGCATTCGTGGTTGCAAGCGTCTGCGTGTGCAATGCCCATGGCATAAGAATTGCAATAAGTCTCGCAACGTCGGCGAGGCGCAGCGTGGCCGCCTCGGCCGACGTGAGCCCTTGTTTTTTCTGACGGCTTGGCTTAAATTGGGCCCAGCAGCCGCGGGCCGTGACGCCCACATCAGATCTGTGCCCACGCCCGCTCAAGTGCGAGATTGCGTGGATTGATTGAGCCTGAGTGTCTTTTGATTCATCGGGTGAAACGCATGTGACCGACTACTAGCATTATGTATGTAGCAACAACTCTTACTAGAGCCTTCACCACCACCACTATTACTACTACTACTACTACCACTACTACTACTACTAAGACTACTACTCGTATGTTTACTGATACTTTGCTGTTCCTTTCGCTGGTACCGAACTATGTGGTTAATACTACTATTGCGATTTCTGTTACGAATATTACTAGTAGATTGTTACTACTACTGCTACTGCTACTGCTGCTACTACTACTACTACTACTATTACTACTACTACTACTACGACTACTACTACTACTACTACTACTACTACTACTACTACTACTACGTCCACGACTACTGCTGCTATTCCTGCTACTATGTTTGCTTTTTTTTTTTTTTTTCATTGCAAGCTACACTACGAAGAACAACTACAACTACAACTACAACTACAACTACAATTACTACTGCTACTATTACTACTACTCCTACTACTACTACTACTACTACTACTACTACTACTACTAGTAGTACTATTACTACTGCTGCTGCTACTACTACTACTACTACTACTACTACTACTACGACTACTACTACTACTACTACCACGACTACTACCACTACTACTACTACTACTACTATTACTACTACTACTACTGCTGCTGCTACTACTACGAATACTACGACTACTACTACTACTACTACTACTACTACTACTACTACTACTACGACTACGACTACGACTACGACTATGGCTACTACTACTACTACTACTGCTGCTACTACTACTACTGCTGCAATTTCTACGACTACTGCTACGACCGCGAGTACGATTACGACTACGACTACGATTATCAATACGACTATCACTACTATTACCACTACCAAAAACGGCGCCAAGGGCGCCAACTCGGGCGCGAGTCCGCCAACTCAGCCGCAAAGCGCATGCGAAACAACAACAAACGTTCGCGATTTGGCAGGCGCGGCCGATGCGTGGCAGAACGCAGCGCGACGCCGCGATCGAAGTTTTTTTTCCCCGAAAACGCTTCGCCGCTCCAAGATCAGAGGGCCCGCAACAAGAAAAAGGGTACACGCACCAAGAAAACCATAGTTTTTTCTTGTGGGGATCTTGTTGGTAACAACTTTTCGGCAAGCAGAAAAGTTGTTACCAACAAGATCCCCACAAGAAAAAACTATGGTTTTCTTGATGCGGGTACCCTTTTTCTTGTTGCGGGCCCTCTGATCTTGGAGCGGGGACGCTTTTTCAGGAAACAACCCTTCGATCACGGCGTCGCGCTGCGTTCTGCCACCCATCGGCTGAGTTGGCGGACTCGCGACTCGCGCCTGAGTTGGCGCCCTTGGCGCAGTTTTGCAACACGTAATAGTAGTAGTAGCAGCAGCAGCAGCAGTAGCAGTAGCAGTAGTAGTAGCAGTAGCAGTAGCAGTAGTAGTAGCAGTAGTATCAGTAGTAGTAGTGGTGGTGGTGGTGGTAGTGATAGTAGTGGTAGTCGTGGTAGTAGTGGTAGTAGTGGTAGTAGTGGTGGTAGTAGTAGTAGTAGTAGTAGTAGTATAGTAGTAGTAGTAGCAGTCGTAGTAGTAGTAGTAGTAGTAGTAGTAGTAGTAGTAGTAGTAGTAGTAGTAGTAGTAGTAGTAGGAATAGTAGTAGCGTATTACGGGGTTACAACAGGAACTGTTATTTCGTTTTGCGGCCGTGGCCGAGGCCTGTCGGGCACCCCTAGGTGTTCCTTCCTGTCCCACTTGGAAGCATTCTGGGTGTCCCATGTCCTATTGCCTTATTGTCCTAGAGGTCGGCGCAGTCCTGGTGCCAGCATCCCTCAGGGCTGGAAAAGGGTGAGGGCGAAAAACACTGAGGGGCGATGCTCAGGCAAATTTCAAAAATTTGCCTGAGTATCGCCCTGCAGCGTTTTCGCGATATGCCTTCATCCCTCAGGGCTGGAAAAGGGTGAGGGCGAAAAACACTGAGGGGCGATGCTCAGGCAAATTTCAAAAATTTGCCTGAGTATCGCCCTGCAGCGTTTTCGCGATATGCCTTTAGCCCTGTAACCTCTTAGCCTTATAGAACCATCGCTATGTAGACTAGAGGCCCCAAGAGGCCCCAAGCGGCTCCAAGAGGCCCCAGGGCTGTCATGAGGCCCCAAGAGGCCCCAAGAGGCTCCCAGGGCTGTCTTGAGGCCAGGAGGATGTCATGTGACCCCAAGAGGCTCCCAGGAGCCCCGAGGGGCCATGCAAAAAAATTAAGACACCATGGGCGCGTGTAACTCGCCACTGTGGATTCAAGCCCTCCAAGAGACTCCCAGCGGGGTCCCAGCCTGCCGCCATGGCGGCTGGCGGCGCCGACGACGTCGTCGTCGACTGCGTCGCAGTGCCAGCGTCCCCGACGTCGCCTGTTTGGGACCATCGTGATGATGACGACATTGTCGGCGATGAGGACATGGGGATCATTGTGCCGTCGCCCTTCATTGCGTCGGCTGTGGCGGTCATGGCGGATTTGGAACGCTTGCCGCCGTTCCTTGACACGGTCGCTCGGGGGGTCCACAACGTTTCAACAATCCGCCAAGAGACCCCATGAAGCCCCAAAGGTGGCCCGACATGGGCCCCAAAGGTCGCCCCGGAGTAGGCCCATACGGCGTCGAACCTTTCGAGGATCAGGATGGGGAGGAGGAGGATGAGGAGGAGAATGGAGGCTTTGGTAGGAGGCTTTGGTAGGGATCACTACTCGGCGAGTGGCGACGTGGCGATCCCTACCAAATTGGCCTGAGGGGGAGGAGGCGGAGGAGGAGGAGGAGGAGGAGGGGGAGGAGGAGGAGCAGAAAGAGGAGGCGGAGGAGGTGGGAGCAGGAGTTCAGGAGGAGTGCGTGCATTCATAGCGGGCAGGTGAACGTCCAGATGGTTTGCTACGGCGTCCGCAAGTACGTGCCAGACTTGATCCAAGACAAGTGTTTGTTTCTTCTTCCTGTGGCAATTGCAGCACCGTCCACCGCGCGCGAGCGCATCGGCCACTTCGTTCAGGAGTCGATGCCTCGGGAGTTCCACGTGCTGGCGCTGAATATCCTGAAACGATCGTTCTTCGACCTGACTAATGAAACGTCCTTGCCAGACGCGATCACTAGCTTGGTTGGCGCGGCATTGCGCATCCGGGTCAACACTCCGTCTGGGTGGTTGTTTTCCGCAGTGGAGCAGTTTGCTGGCGTCGGCCGCATCGATAAGCAGATGAGAGAGCTCGGCTTGCGGTCGATCGCCCTCGACATCAAATACGACTCAGATCATCTCAACATCCTGACCAGCGTGGGGTTCGCGATCTACATGTGGACCTTGTTGGCGACCAAGGCTTAGGATGTGGAGAACTGCGCATGCGTGACCCCTTGACAACACCATCCTTGGCCCAGGACATTTGGGGGTCCATCCTGAAACCAGGGCGTCTGGCGGGGCCGCCCAGTCCAGCCCCATCTCAAGTTTTTGGCCTGATCCTGAATACTGAGGGGCCCCGACCCTGGGTTAAAACAAGTGATTCTTGATTGGGCTCGCGCCCGCTCCGCCTGTCCCCTCTCGCCGCCCTGTGGGCGGCAATAGGCGATCTAGGATGACAATGACGCGCATTTATCGCTGGCCGTTGCGCCATGGAGACTTCATGGGACTATGATTGCCTCAACGTCGCGTTATGTTCAGGAGCCTCTCGGGCTCTTGAGGGCTCTGAGAAGGCCCGAGAAGGCTCCAAGAGGAGGGCTCCAAGAGGAGGGCTCCAAGAGCGCTCCATGGGAGCTCCGGGAAGGCACTTGACAGGATCACCAACAAGGAGCTTCGTGGGCGATCCTGTCAGGCGTTTGCGCGGGCGCTCTTGGGCCCTAGGACCCTGAGAGGGCCGCGCCCATAGTGGGCCCGCGATGGGTCCAAGGGGTGGTGCATGTGCAGATTTCTGGTCGCCCGAAAGGTTGGCGGCTTGCTCTGGCTCTCGCCGCAGTGCAGCTCGTTCGTCTGGATTTCGCGATCGGTGACCAAGCGCTTCCCTGACAATCGTCTTGGCAGCCCGCATTGTCCGCCTGCCATCGAAGGTAATCGAATGGCATTGCGGTGTATGATCCTCATGATGGTTGCCAACCTGATTGACGTCCATGTCGTGCTGGAGCAACCGATGTCATCGGTGTTCGACGAATTACCATTCTTGGCCGACTACATGGCGAGGATGATCCGGGTGCCGACATGGCTCGGCAGTTTCGGGGCCCCCACGGCGAATCCTTTGAAGTTGTTCACGACATCGGACAAGTTTCGAGGGCTGAGGCGGTCGATATCGAGGATCGGTCAGCCGCTGGCAAAGCTCTACACCACCACGCATGGCAAGACTTCTGGGAAGAAAACGCACATGAAGGACAGCGAGAAATACACGAAGGAGTTCGCGGCTGCGGTGGTGCGTCTCCACTCCGCCTCGCCTGGCCAGATGCCGATCCTCTGAGGGCTGAGGCCGAGGGCGGCCAAGGTGAGAGGCGCTTTTGTTTTCGGGGCCTCGCCATCATGCAGCGGCGCGGCGTGAATCCAGGGCTTGATGGATTCGTTCGATCATGTGAGCAAACTTCGCTCTGGAGATCCGGGATCATGTGTGCGTTTTGAAGAAGTGGCGCCACGGGCCTCCAAGACTGCCCCAGAAGGGGGCCCAGAAAACGTTGTCATTTGGTCATCCAAACAGTCCGTGCCTGGGAACCCGCTGGTGGGGAGTCGCTGCTTCTCGCGGCCCTTCTGGGGAGGCGCGTCCTGCAGCCCTAGGAGGTGTGTCTTGGGAGGTCCCTAGGCCAGTCCCAAAACTCTAACGCTAGCATCTCAGAGATACATGCCGTTCCCATCCATGATCATTGCGGTCGTGTTTTTATGTGCATGAAGGGCGCCCAGCGCGGCCCAGGAGGTTTTGCATGTCGCCCAAGACGCGGTGACACGTAGAGGCTCTAACCTACTTTGGACAACCACCTTTTCGGAGACTGTGTTTTAGAGAAGGCAAGGGGCTGGCTTCGGTGAGAACCACATCTCAGAACATCAAGACGGGCCAGGAGGCCCTGTATACGGTCTTGAAGGCTTCAGCCCGAAACGGTGAAACGTAGAGACCCTTACCTACTTTAAACATGTACCTGTTCGAAGGGTTTTTTAAACAGAGAAGGTGAGGGGCTGGCTTCGGTGAGAACCACAGTTCAGAGCTGAATGGACGATTTTCGATGCGAATTGGCTGGCTCGCGGCAGGCCGCCCATTGGTCACGAGACCCTGGGTTCCTTATCGAAGTATCTCCACCGTATCTCATAGGACTGACGTGGGTAACTTCGGCTGACCAGGTGGAGTGGTCATCGTTAGCAATGCCCGTATAGGCGCATCGGCTCGAGACGTCGAGGCGTGGGCTTGTTGGCCCGACCGAGCGGCCCGAAGAGGTCGACTCAACCCTCCTGGTCCAGGTTATGGCGGCAGCATCCGGGGAGCTCGGTGGGGGGCCACCGCAAGCAGATGTGCGCCTCGCTGATTTGGAGGACGACATCGGAGTCGCGGGGTCACCGCAGAAGTTGCCGCCTCGCAGGGGCAAGGGCGGCGTCGCTGGCGCCCGCGGTGGGAAGCGGGCCAGCGCCAGGGGGGGTGGCAGACACAAGAAACGGATGAAGTTCGGCCCCTCTGACGATGAAGGCGCAGATGCGAACGGCGAGGGCCAGGGCGCGGCCGCGGCCGCCACCGACTGCCCGGACGGCGAGAAGCACCGCTGCCCTGTCTGCGAGCTCGAGGCGAGCCCTGGATGGATGCCAAATCAAATGTCACCACTCCAGTTTCCAGGAGCCAAGCCACGGCTATAAGAAAACAAGGAGGACGAGGGTGACAAGGAGGAGGGGCGCAGGATTTGCGGAGGAGGCCGAGGAGGACGAGGCGGAGGAAGGATGACGGAGCCTCGGAGGATGGAAGGACGAGGACGACAGGGAAGTGCAGCGCAGGATTGGTGGAGGAGGCCGACTAGGAGGAGGAGGAGAGGGAGGAACGAATGAAGAATGGAAGGGAGGCCTGAAACCGTCGTCGTCATCCCCCCCCTTCCCCCCCGCGCCTGCAGGTGAACATCTTCGACGACGAGACCAAGGCCACAGGGGCTGATGCGGACGTGGTCTACTGGCACCACAAGTGCCGCGGCGCGGCCAGGTACCTGGAGAACGCCGCTCTTGCTCGCGACGCCCGGGAGCACGATCCCGCTAAGAAGGTGCACATGAGGAACTTGCGCGACGTGGAGAAGAACAACGTGACCCTCTGGCGGAAACAAGTGCTGGGCCTCGTCGTTGAAGACGGCCGCTATCGGACTGCCGTGCATAGGGGCGCTGCCACCAAAAGCTTGGACACCCTGGAAACCTACAGCAGGAAGGAGCAGCTCGACGACGTGATCATGCTCGACTTCGATGAGTTCTGCGCCCACCATGCGTTCTGGAAGCGGTGGGATGACGCTCGGTGTGAAATCGAGTGGGACGCTGCCGTGAACGACCCGAGGATCCTCAAGGAGGGCGAAGGGGTGAACCTCAGGGTCCCTGTTGCTCTGCCGAAGAAGTACAGGGGCATCCAGGGCGTCGGGGAGAGTTCGGCCATCCAGTCCGAGAAGGCACACGAAGGCAAGGATGACATCCAGCGGGCCATGCAGCGGGTGAGATCCGCCGCGAGCGGGTCGTCTGACCAGCTTGCGAACATGGGTGGCCAGGCTCAGGCAGCTCTTCGTGTTGGCGCAGCTTTTCGCGGCGCGTCCTCGGGTCGTGGCGACGCAGCGGTGTTCCAAGACAATCATTTTAGCGTCTTCGGTCACGACTTCCTCTCCAACAGCTGCGGTCCAGCCCGCGGGGGCGCGCCGCTTGTGCATGGCGTTCCAGCGCCCTGCCTGTCCCCGGCACCTCTCGTTGGCGGCGACGGGCAGCCTGCAACGTCGTCTGGGACGGCTACGCCGCTCGTGGCCGCGGGGGCCGGTGCTGCGCCAGGAACGCCGTTCGGAATGCCAGTGCCGCCCGCAGAGACGCTGTCGGCGGCGAAGCCCAAGAAGGTTTGGACGGGCCCAGAGATCTCCGCTGCCAAGAAGAAGCTGGGGGTCGACATCGCGGGCCTCCTGAATGAGGTCTACCCGCCCAAGAGAGGAGGCTTCCTCAGGACCGCGCAGAACTTCGCCACGTCGCTCGGCGCAAAGTACCCGCAGATGCTCATTGATGAGGTCGTGGCGGTAAACATTACGGAGCTCGAGGCCGCGATCAAGGAGATCTCCGACAAGAAGAATGCCGTGCCGAACTGCCCAGCGTCGAAGTTCGAGGATATGCAGGAGGAGGTGGCGGATCTCGAGTCGACAGTTCAGCGCCTTGCCAGCCAGCTGAACGCAAGCATGACTAAGATCAAAGATCACCATGCCGCGACTCAGAAGAAAATCAAGAGCGACGCCGCGAAGGATCGGTATCGACTCAACCAGTCAACCAAGCGATTCACAGACAAGGGCTGCACTTTGAAGATAGCCCAGCACCTGGACAACATCGAGAAAGAGACGAAGAATGGCGTGAAGGCGTCCTTGGTGAAGCCCATGCTCGACGATGCCGAGACGAAGGCCCTGGCGTCTAAGGGGCCCGGGCTCATCGACCTTGCGAAGAACACGAACCTCAATGAGCTCGTGAAGTTCTGCGACGCGGAGTTCCAGGAGAGGGCCAAGAGGCTCATCGACCATCTCAAAGCAGCCAACGGCAAGGGCAACCTGCAGCACGCCGTGACGATTGAGCCTTCTACTCGCTACCTGGAGCTGTACAATGTGCTGTTTGACAACGTCGTGGAAGGCGTCCCAGACTGCATGCTCTTCCCCTGGAACGTCGGGATCGCTGAGAACGCGTGCAGGTCGGGCTTCGACTGCACTGGCTTGGCGGGCCTGCCGCAGGTAGTCTACTGCGTCGCTGGGGGGGCCACGGTGCTCTTGGCTGACATCGCGCAGCTCATCCAGGGCGACGGCCAAGAAATGGACGATTTGGCCAAGCTCATTACCCTATTGGAAGGCTGCACGCTCGAGATGCTTGGCGATCGCTTGCGATGGATTGTGCTCGAGAAGGGCCAGCTCCTCTGGGTGCCTGCGGCATTCGTGCCATTCTATAAGACCGCAACCAAGGGGGGGTGCGTCGTCTCCCAGATCCCTGCGCTCAATAAGCTCAACGTGGCGGCTGATGGTCCCTTGGTCCAAACCTGGAAAATGATCATCGACTCGCTGGCGAAGCACGCCTCCTTGCGGAAAGATTGCAATCCGTGGAAGAAGATCTCAGACAAGCTGCCCAAACTGTGCGATGCGATCCAGAGGGAGGTCAAGCCCGAGCTCGACGTGAAGAAGGACGACGACGGCTCCAAGCTCGACGCAGAGAAGGGCGACGGCTCCAAGCTCGACGCAGAGAAGGGCCCCGAGGACAGCTCCAAGGCGCCCGCGGGGGTCGGCGACGGCCGCGACAGCAAGGGCACCGAGGACTGAGGACAGGCTGCGAGGTCCGTCGACGTCGCCTCCCCCGCCTCCGCCATCAAAGCGAGCGGGGAGGGAGGAGGAGGAGGAGGAGGGGGAGGAGGAGGAGGAGGAGGAGGAGGAGGAGGAGGAGGAGGAGAAGGAAGAGGAGGAGGAGGAGGAGGAGGAGGAAAGGAGGAGGAGGAGGAGGAGGAGGAGGAGGAGGAGGAGGGGGAGGGGGAGGAAAAAGAAGAGGAGGAGGAGGAGGAGGCAGGAGGCGGAGTAAGAGGAAGAGGAGCACGAGGAGTAGGAGGAGAAGGAGGAGGAAGATCAGGGCGAAGGCACCGGGGGGAGTAAGATGTTTTAGAACTCCCCACTGGCCACGGGCGTCTTCCTCGCAAGGGCGGGGGTGGGGGAGCAGGCTTCGCTTCAGAGATCGCTGCCGCCAGGCCTGGGGCGCGAGGCGGGCCCAGGGGGCGGCCAGGGGTGCGATCGAGTCAGAGTCATTGCGAACTCTTCCATCCATGTCTGCGCCCCTCCTCTATGATCTCCTGCCACGCCCCTCTATGATCTCCTGCTCCTCCCCCCTCGGCCCCAACAACAAAACACGCACTCAGCCATCCCTGTTCCTCTTCCTCATCGCCCTCCTTCTCAACCCCTCTCCTCCTCCTCCTCCTCCTCCTCCTGCTGTTCCTCCTCCTCCTCTTCCTCCTCCTCCTCCTCTTCCTCCTCCTCTTCCTCCTCCTCCTCCCTCCTCCTCCTCCTCCTCCTCCTCCTCCTCCTCCTGTTCCTCCTCCTCCTCCTCCTCCTCCTCCCCCTCCTCCTCTCTTCCTCCTCCTCCTCTTCCTCCTCATCCTCCTTGCCTGTTGCCATTTTGGCTCGCCCGTGCCTAGGCTCAAGCGGCTGCGACGGCAACGTTGGCGTCGTTGTGCTTTATCGGCAAGTCTGTAATGAATTCAGGCGTTGCCCTTCTCTCGGCCCACTGGCTTTGGGCCATTCCGCGCAGCGGTCGAGGCGACCGAACGAAAACAGACGCCGAGACATCTCGGCTCGATGCGCGTGGCGGTTTTCAAACCAGCTACTGGGCTGACGATCGAAACGCTCCGAGGTTGAAACGCCCTGCCCTTTGCGGTAGATCGTTGATGGGCCGCGCCTGATCCCAAACAACTTGGCAAATGATTGCGAAACGCTGCCAGGTTCCAGGCATAATCGGCACCGCCATCGCAGCGCGCCGACCAACGACGCTGGATCAAAGGCGCAGCTTCAGACACGCACCGAAGCACCTGCCCAGGATTCAGAAAAGCCGCGCGGCTTCTGACTAAACGAACGCCGCTGTCGTAAAACAAAGATGATACTTTGAAAACGTCGCCGATGCCGAAGCTACGTCGCCGACGCCAAAACCATGCTCGCCGAGGATTTCAATCGGCTTAGATAAGTACCAGGTGGCCGCATCTGACGACCTCAATATAAGTTAGTGTGCAAAGGCAGAGGGGTTTGCTCCTTTACCGGTAAGCCTCACCTTGAGCTCTCCGGTTGCTTTTCTGAGGGTGGTTTCCTCACCCGTCTCAAAAACGCCTACCCCCCCGCCCTCTGCGCACTCCTGGCTGACACACTGCACCGAACGTGTATAGCACAGCATTCCACCGAGAGATGGAAACGAATGCGGGGTTAAGCCCCAGCACAATGCTTGAGTGATGGATTTTGTTTCAGGTTGAAGTATGGCAGATCTGTGTCGCACTAGCCAGCCTAGCTTGCCCGTGCTTCGTTCGAATCCTCAAGCAGTCTGAGCCACTGGCAAATAAAGCAATCATGTAAATGATGCACGAGAATGATTGCTAATGTCTGTCGCCTTCTCGCTCAAGGCACTTCTTTCGGCCCACGCCAGCCCAATGCCTCGTTTCAATGGTACCTTGAGCAGATCTGTGTCGCACTAGCCAGCCTAGCTTGCCCGTGTTTCGTTCGAATCCTCAAGCAGTCTGAGCCACTGGCAAATAAAGCAAACATGTGTTTTGAGGTGTGTTTGCTCTGGTTCAGGCTCGATTGCAGTTTGTTTGGCGATTTCGATTGAAAGTAGCTAGTTATGATGTATTGAGGATGTGAACTGCATTTTGCGTTGCATGAGCCATGCTGTGCTGGTGTGTGAGATTGTTGCGATGCTCGGCAGCAGTGCTGTGACTTGTTCAAGCCGTGCTTCTCACTCGTTGCGTTAAGCATGCAGCCGCACCTCACAGCACCTATAGTAGAGGCGCTTGTCACTATTGACGTATGGGTCGAGCCCGCACTGCCCGGAAGATGCATGCTCGTTCTCGGAGTTCATTTGTTCCTCTTCCTCCTCCCTCTCTACCACCTCCTTTCCCCCGTCCCTCAGTGGTGTCTGTCAATGTATTTGGGCCGATCCCGCACTGCCCGAAATTAGCATCCTCGTTCTCCAGTTATCCTTCTCCTCCTCCTCCGCCTCCTCCTCCCTCCCCTTCCTTCCCGTTGTGGTGTTTGTCAACGTCGACCTCTGGGACGATCCGCACTGCCAGAAATAGGAATCATCCTTGTCGTGCTCATCCTGCTCATCCTCCCTCCCACTTCCCGCAGCGGTGCTTGTCAATGGCAACATCTGGGCCGAGACCGCGCTGCCCGAAATAGACATCCTCGTTTTCATGTTCCTCCTTCTTCTCCTGTTGCTCCTCTTACCTCCTCCTCCTCATCCTACAGCTATTTCTCCTCCTATTCCTCTTCCTCCTCCTCCTCCTTCTCCTCCTCCTCCTCACTCCCCCTTCCTGCAGTGGTGCTTGTCGATGGCGAACTCCGGGCCGAACACGAACGGCTCGCAGTTCTTCATTTGCACCGATGCACCGTCGCATCTGGACGGCAAGCACGTCGTTTTCGGCGAGGTGGTCTCTGGCTTTGACGTCGTGCAGCAGATGGATGGGGCAAGGGGGCACGGGGCATATGAGGAGTTGGGCGGGGAGGAGGTCTGAGAAGATGAGGTAGGAGGAGGAGGAGGAGGAGGAGGAGGAGGAGGAGGAGGAGGAGGAGGAGGGATAGAAGCGAACGGACAAGGAAGGAGGGAAAAAGGGGAGGAGAGAGAGAGAGAGAGAGTGTTGAGGGCAAGGAGGGCGGCAGGAGCGGGGGGAAAAGGAAGGAGGAGGAGAAGGAGGAGGAGGAGCAGCAGCATAATGAGGTTAACGGGCAGGAGTTGGAGCAGGACGAGAGGAAGAGGACAGGATGGCGGGGGAGCATGAAGAGGACCGAGAGGGAGAGGGTAGGAGAGGGAGATCCGAGAAAGGATGCTTCTCAGTTTGAATAAACATTGGGTCGTTTCTGCCCCGCAGGGCTAAGTCCACCTTGCTGCATGACAGCCCGCAGGGCATACGGCCCATCGCCCGCAGGGCGATGCATTGACCCTCAGCACTTGGCCCTGTGCACGGGGAGGTGGAAAGAGGGGAGAATGGTGCAGCTGCACCCCTCAGGGCTTGGCTAAAGGTTGGCAATCGTATCCCGCTGAGCGTGGTTGGCAGCAGAGGGACGGGAAGTTGTGTAGCCGTACCCCTCAGAACCTGGCTGTCGGAAGGATTGGAGGAAGCGGCGCAGCCGCACCGCTCAGGGAGTGGCCCGAAGGCGGGCGCGGCGCCACCAGGGGCAGCGGAGGGCCCAGGGAGGAGGAGAAGGAGGAGGAGGAGGAGGAGGGAGGCTACGAACGACGTTCTTTCGAGCCAGGAACCAGGAACCAGGAGGAGGAGGACGAGGACCAGTGCAAACCGAAGAGTCATCAACCATGTTGGAATTAACCCTCCCTCCAAGCTCCCTCTTCATAGACCGCTACAACGGTTCATTTCCATTGAGGGAACTTCCTCGTTGGAAGACAATCGTTTGAAGATCCTGACGCATGCCAAAACATTGTCCTCGAGATGTCAACGCCACGGATCAACCTGACTGCTGCGCCTTGCCGATCCGGAATCGCGCCAGAGCGCCCTTTGTGGGACTTCAACACCGCGAACTAACATAACTGTTGCACCCGCATAATCCAGAATCTTTCCCAAACCCCATTCTGGTTCGCTGATCATGGGAATCCGTGAAACTCTTGTCATTGTTTGAAGCGAGTGTTGTCGGCGCTACTGCGAGAGCCACATGTTGAAAAGAAACCGCCCTCAACCCGTGGAACTCTCGCACATGTTTACAACGAATGTGCGCGGCGTTAGGCGAGAGCCACATTTTGAAAACCACCTGCCTTCAATCCGTGAAACCCTTGCAAATGTTTAAAACGAATGTGCGCGGCGCTGAGGCGAGAGCCACATGTTGAACAGGAACCGCCCTCAATCCGTGAAACTGTCGTCACTTTGTAAGCTTCAGAGTCGTAACTGGTGAGGCAGTCTCAGGCGACACGCCTGGCCCGTCCTACAAACTGGCCTCGGGGTGCGACAAGGAGAGGTTATTTATAAGGAGAAGGAATGGAGGAGGGGAGGGAGGGAGGAAGGGAGGGAGGGTGGGATGGTGAGGAGGAGAAGGAGGAGGAGAAGGTGCAGGAGGAGGAGGATGAAGAGGAGGAGGAGGAGGAGGAGGAGGAGGAGGAGAAGGAGGTCCCTCCCTCGCATCTGTGCCCTGGGCGCGCCTCCAAGGGCAGGCGAGGGCTGCGGGCAGCTCCCGAATCCGCCCAGCTCCAGGCGGGCCGGCGGCAGATCCGCCAGACCGGCCACACTCCAGCACTCCCCCGTCGCAGTGCCCTCCCCACCAGCACCCTGTTCGGTCCTGCAACCTTGGCGGTGTCCCTTCCCCGCGGCACGCGGCCGGTCTCAGAGAATCGAGACGGGGGGGAGGGCAGGAGATGCGGAGTGGAGCCGAGGTGTCGACCCCTGGCGGTCGACAGGAGGGCGGAGGCGGGGCGGAGGGGAACATGGAGGGCGAGCTCGGCAAGAAAAGGCTGCCGGCCGCTTTGCTCGCTGCGCCCCTTGCATGCTGCTCAGAGAGTGGTATAGTCTGACTGAAAGTTGCCAACGGCATGCAGTCAGCGTCAGACGGAGGAAGGGAGACGGGAGAGAGGCTAGGTAGGTACGTTCGCGCCGTATCTGTAGAAAGCCCAAGGTTCGCTAGGGATCGGTTTCCCCCCAAACAACTCACACCCTTTTGACCCCCCCCCTGAACCCTCTGCAACGCCTCCCTCCCACCCATCCATTCCGATGGAGTTGATTGATTGTTTATTTTTGTTGTTCTCTCTCTCTCTCTCGCTCCCTCTCTCCGCAGACACATCCCATATCGGACCTGGAATTCCAAAAAGGACCCCTGGAGGAGGAGATGGCGGATGAGCAGGAGGATGATTTTGAGGAAGAGGAGGAGGCTTCGGAAGGAGGAGGACAAGGACGAACAGCAGCAGCAGCAGCAGCAGCAGCAGCAGCAGCAGCAGCAGCAGCAGCAGCAGCAGCTGGAGCAGCAGGAGCTGGACGAGCGGGAGGACCAGGGAGGAGGGGGAAGGCGGAGGGGGGCGACAGCGACGAGGAGAGACCCGAACCCAGAACAGAGGCCCGCGCTGGGGCGAGAGTGCCGCTCTGAAGGACACTGGCAGAGCGCTGGTCCTAAAATGAGGCCCATGCCGGCATCACCTTTTTTCAGGAGAAAAAACACACAGACACCATTAATCGTCGATCCCCCATAAAATATGGTGAAACATGGGAAGTGGGGAGAAGACGAAATCTCAGACAATATAGAAGATAGGGGGGATCCTCAGACTTGTGTGTGTGTGCGTGTGTGAATTGTAGTGGCCTCCAGCCCGTGCCGCCGATCCTGGGGGCTCCGGATTCGGTGATCTTCGCGGCTCTGTGGCCTCCTTTTTCCTCGACTCTTTCGGTCCCCTTTCTTCTCCCCAGATCTCGGTATCCTCTGCCTCTCGCTGAGCGGTCCCGGGGGGGGTCGGGGGAGGGTTCCGAGGGGAGAGGGTCCTGGGGGCGGTAGCGGCTAGATCTGAGAGGGGTCCTTGGGACCCCCCCGAAGCGTCTTGGGGATGCGCAAACCATGAAGAAAACGCAAGATGGGGACCCCCCTCCCCCCCCTCTCCCCCCCTTCCCCGGCAGAGCCCCGGGTCCCTGGGACGAGCCCCGGGTCCCTCGGACCCCCGAAAACATTTTGGGGATGCGCAAACCATCAAGAAAACGACAAATGGGGGACCGCCCCCCCACCTCCCCCTCTTCCCCTGCAGAGCCACCCCAGCGACCCCCCCAAGCAGAACTGAAGCTCTCGCTTAGGCTCAGAGCTGAAGCTCTTGCTGAGGCTCCCTATAGTTCACACGCTGGATCGCCGGATTTATTTGTGTGCCCCTGGCCTCCCTCATTTTTGAAGGACCGAAAACGCCTGGATTGCAAAAGCCATAGGGAAGACCATGTAGTGTCATCTCATGTGGAAAGAGCCACTGCGCGGAGGGCGGCGGGGGAGAGAGAGGGCAGTACTCAAATTGAGCCATTGGGGAGGACGAGGAGGAGGAGGAGGAGGAGGAGGAGGAGGAGGAGGAGGTGGAGGTGGAGGCGGAGGCGGAGGAGGAGGAGGAGGAGGAGGACTTGGAGGAGGAGGAGGAGGAGGAGGAGGAGGAGGAGGAGGAGGGGGGGGCAGAGAAGAGGAAGCGGGCAGGGGAGAAGGATTGAAGGAGGCGGGGCTGCTCAGCCACGCCAGTAGGTCCAGGGGGGGAGGACATCGCCGCGGTCATGCCAGGGCGTGCGAGGGCAGGAGTCCTGCGGCTCCAGATCCGGCCGCGTGGCGAAGAAGGTCGCCATCAAGAACTGCGGGATGGTGGACGCCGAGGCGAGCCAGGCGTCGAAGCGGCAGAGGCCGGCTGCTCGTCGCACCCGCTGGGGGCGGGCGGGCGGCAGCGGGGGGCAGCAGGCGTGCGGCAGGTTCGCGTCGTGTCTACAGGCGGCGACCCCGCCGCCGGCATTTCACGTCGAGCGCCGCCGGCGAGTCAGAATCGGTCGATGTTGTACGATCTGGCGTTTCGGAGACGGCCGATCATTCAAGGTTGAACGATCCCCTCGGTGTCAGGAGCCGACTTCTGGGTCGGCACGACACGAACCTGCCGTAGAGGGGGATCCAGGATTGCAAGGATAAGCGGCCCTAATGGTCTCTAGCTTGCGAGCTCGGGCCCATCAGAGGTACACGACAGGCGCACGTTGCTACACCACGCGTTTGTCGCGCCCCCTCCCCTCCCCTGTGTCAACTGTTCACGAGCGCCCGAGTGGCGGGCGCGCCCGCCGGCAGGGAAAGCTCACCGTGGGCCCGGTCGGCGCAACAGGCCAGCATCCGTCGCCGCGTGCACCGGCATGCAGCGAGGCATTCGACCGGCTGCCCCGTGTGGGCGCAGTGTGGGAAAGCCACAGCATGCTGGTCTGTTGCCGTTTCTGGCCGTTTTGATGGCTGGTGTCGGGCCTCGCGACGGTCAAGTAGCAACCAGGATAAGAAGACACCGGTCCTGAGGAAGGGATCGACAGGTCCTGGGGCCCTCGCGTCACAAAAAGGGAGCGCCAATGGCAATGGTCTGGAGAGGGTGCCTGTGAGAGAGGGGGCCCCTGCTGCGCCTCTCCAGTTGCCTTCTTCTTGTCTCCTCCTCTCCTGCTGCCTCGTTCTGTTTACCTGCCTCCGACCTCGCCTCCCCAGCTGCCACCTGCGCAAGTGTCCGTGCTTTCGTGAGCTCCTGGGAGGTGCAGCGGAACGACGTCGTGCGCAGAGCAAGTACCTATGACTCCCCTCCGAGGGCGCTGCCAAGTTGCGCAGCTGTCGCACTTTCGTGAGCTCCAGGGAGGTCCAGTGGAGTGGTGCCCTACGCAGGTCCAAACTATCGTTGACTCTCTCCCCTGAGCGCTGTCAACTGTGTCAGTACTTTCGTGAGCTCCTGTGAGCAAGGAGAGGAGGAGGCGGAGGAGGAGGAGGAGGTGGAGGAAGAAGAGGAGGAACAGGAGAAACAGCATCAGCAGGACGAGAACAAATAGTTGGGAACGGGGATGGCTACGTCATAGCTGCCGAGTTGGTACTTCGTAGATGCCCCAGAGCTACCGCATGGCTACCGAGTATTCGTATGTTCCTGACCATCCCGATTGTTTCCGAGTTTCCTCGCCAGTGTCAAATTGTTTGCTTTTGTCATGCGATTTGGGAATTTTTGAACAACAGTCCATCACTCCAGACGAAGCTTAATTCAGTTAGTGAAGCTCTGTGGGATCCTCCCCGCCGGTCCTCAGAAGGCGGGCCTCGTAGCTGCGCTCCACGCGGCACCAGTCGACCGCCCCACGCGGGCTATCAATGCCATGCAGTGCAGCCGCTGGATACATATCCGGAGCCTCAAGAAATTCTAACCCGTACACGGGGGCACCCGCAGGGTCAGCCTGCATCGAGGGTTTCGAGACACCAGTTAGTTTCTTTTCACACTGAGCTCGGACTCCAACCGAAGTCTCACACGGAGTGACGAGCTGAGTGAGGGGAGGTCGTGGAGCTAGGATGGGGGCTTCTCCGAAGCCCACTCCTCTGCGTCGCCAGGCCAGGGTGGTGTAGGGTCCAGCCAAGCCAGACCCTGACCAGGCCTTTGGCTGCGCTGACCGCTCGCCCCAAGTGATACGCAAAACGCGGGAGGAACAGAGGAGCCGCCGGAGGAGCCGAGAGCAGCTGCGCTCAGCAGCGGGTCGGACGCGCCGCCGTCGCTCACATCTGCAGCGCACGCATTGCCAGCCCGAACAGAGGCAAGGGTCGGCACAGAAAGCCCGAGTGGGTCCGCATCTGCCAGCGCGTCCGCTGTGGGCGCGCGCGCCTCTTCTTGGCATCCGCTGGCGATGCGGCGGTGCCCTCCGCCCGCGCGGCGGGCTGCGAGGAAGAAGCGTCGGCCGACTGCGGGCAGGGCTGCTCGGGGCGGGCCTCTCAGAGGCCTAGCTGCACTCGCCATTCCGGCTGCACGTCATACTCGTCAGCCAAATCGGCCGACACCTGGGCAGGGCTGGAGATGCAGGACCGCCTCCGCCGTCTCCCGGAGCCCATCCGTGTCGCACAAGTCCGCATCATGTAGCCAGCGATGCAAGCGGACCTGCCACTCCGCGGCCTGCACATCCCGACACTCGCAGCCTGCGATGACGAGCTCGTGCCCCTCATGCATGCATGCCCTGCAGGGCCGTTCCTTGTCTAGCCTACTCATCGGCCAGACGGATGCCGCGCAACCTCCACTCGTCTTCCCAATATGTGGTTTCCACACAGGCTCCGTGGGACTTCATGTGTTCTACTCTCGCCACAGTATTTCCCAAAGGGCCTGCGCACGTTCCGGAGATGATCTGCACTCTGCTCGTCATAATGAATGATCGCGGATGCGTCCAACGGAACATGCATCGTATACGAAAGATGACGTGCGAGAGGAGCATGACGCGTAGCCAAAAAAAACACCTCGGGCGTCGAGACGTGCGCAAGCATACAGCATCGCGGGCGGTGGACGAAGTTGAGGGACTATCCGTCGACGAAGATGACCACCCCACCTCCATCCAGTGCGCCCGAGAGCGTTCGAGCACGGGCAATCGAACCCTGGATGGAAAAAGCGTGCCCCTTGCAGCCCCACAACTTGCACGACGCGGAACGGGGAGGACGGGGATGATTCAAAGTGCGAGGAGGAGGAGGAGAAGGAGGAAGAGGAGGAGGAGGGCTGAGGAGGAGGAGGCGGAAAGTTCGGGAAAGGGAGGACGGGGAGGAGGGAGGCCGAGGTCTGGGAGGGGGCCTCCGAGGCGGAGCAGAACGCGTGCATGAGAGTTCTACCCCGGCCCGGTGCCTGCCATCCCCCCCCCAAGAGGCTGATCGACGTGGCGCCAGCCCCCCGCCTCGTGAGCGAGGTGCCCGTCGACGCTCCAGTGCAGGGCGGCCTTCTGGGGCACGACCCCGCTCTCTGCACCGCTGCGGCTCTCTTTTCTCTCGCGAGGGAAGGTTGAGGTTTTGATGATGCGGCTGCTGATGGTAATGGTGATGATGAGTTCGTTGTTGTGTGATTCATCCTGATGTTGGTGATGATGATGATGGTGATGATGATGGTGATGCTGACGATGATGATGACGATGATTATGATGATACTGTTGCCGATGATGACGATGATGATGCTGATGATGATGATGACGATGACGATGATGACGTTAGTGGTAACGCTGCTGTTATTTGTGATGATGATGATGTTGATGACGATGATGGTGACGATGATGATGATGCTGCTGCTGATGATGGTGATAAGGATGATGATAACGGTGATGGTGATAGTGGTGATGACGGTGATGATTATGATGCTGATGATGCTGACGATTTGGTGATGCTGCTGTTGATGATGACCATGAGGATAATGAAAAGTCAAGGGGGGGACGTGAATGAGTGATATTGGTTTGAGGGGTCCAGAGGGTTCTGGGAACGAAGTGCGAGGAGGATGATCGAGAAGAGGAGGAACAGCCCCAACAGGTCCAACCGCTGTCAAACAACCTCGATTCTCGATCCTCGGTCCTCTTCCGCCACCTCCTCCTTTCGGGAATGAGCCGTTTCAAGGTGATTGCATCCGCGATCGTCAGCCTGTGCACAACGGAGGACCTCTGCTTTAAAGGAGAGTGCGAAGGGAACGGCTCATTAATATGAGCAAAACGACGGAGACGTCGACGACGAAACTCTTCGAAAGTGGTTAGTGCTGCGGTCGATTGTTGAGTTTGTTGTTTTTTTCGGAAGCCCCGTGGGCAGCTTGAGGCTGGCTGAATCGTTTCGAGGCCCTCCCCGACTTGAAGGCCAACTTACTCCAACTTCGTAGGATCTGGGCTGCACCTGGACGACCCGGCAGGTCAACAGGCCCCAGGACGAGCTCGTACCCCACCCCTCTCTCAGACGGGAGATGTTGGGCCCAGGTGCTGTGTAATATTCATGGAATTGGGCACGAATTGTCCCAGCACGAAATGTCCTAGACACGAATTGTCCAGACACGAAGCACGAATTGTGGGGGGGGGGTATGGGGGGTAGAATCCCAGACACCTGGAGACCTCCAGAGGATCCGCTGATTTTCGGTGCGGGCCCACAGGGGTCCCTTCAGCATTGGCCCATTGGGCTGCGCGCGTGGATCTGTGCCCCCCGGCCCCCCGACGCCGCGCGCCTAAGGCCACCCTTGCCTCTAGGGCCATCCGAGACCGACCAGTCGGCCCGCCGCTCCGAGGCGGGCATTGATGCAGAACCCCCGCTCGCGGGACCGAGCCTCGGGGAGGCGGGCGGTGCAGGCAGGCAGATGCCCCGTCAGACAGCAAGGGTTGGCCCGTGGACGGGCGAGGTTGCAGCGCACTGGGCACTGCGTGCGCGTGCGCATGGAAGAGCATCCCCGCCTCGCACCTGCAGCGGAGCCCGCGCGCCAGGCTGCTGGCGCAGGCCGACGCCGGCGCCCAAGCGGGCGGCGCCGCGGCGGGGCCCGCCCGGCCCGAGCCACCAGGGCCGGGCGCGGGCGAGGCGCGCCCGTCGCCTGGCGGCCGGCAATCCTCGCCTCCTCCTCCTCCTCCTCCTCCTCCTCCTCCTCCTCCTCCTCCTCAGTCTCCTCTTCTTTCTGCTCCTCACCATCCTCCTCCCCCTTCTCGTCCCCACCATCATCCTCATAATCCCCTCCTCCTCCTCCTTCTCCTCCTCATCATCAGCATCATCATCACCATCATCATCATCATCATCATCATCATCATCATCATCAGCATCAGCATCAGCATCATCATCATCATCATCATCATCATCATCATCATCATCATCATCATCATCATCATCATCATCATCATCATCATCATCATCATCATCATCTTCATCTTCATCTTCATCTTCATCTTCATTAGCATCATCATTATTAGCATCATCACCACCACCATCACCATCGTCATCATTAGCATCATCATCATCATCATCATCATCATCATCATCATCATCATCGTCATCATCATCATCATCGTCATCGTCATCATCATCATCGTCATTCCCATTATCATTATCATCGTCACCGTCATCGTCATCATTCCCATCATCATCATCACCACCACCATCATCATTATAATCGTCGTCGTCATTGTCATCGTCATCGCCATCATCATGATCATCGTTGTCATCATCACCATCAGCAGCAGACTCATCATCATCAACGTCATCATCGTCGTCATCATCATCGTCATGATGAAGATGATGATGATGATGATGATGATGATGATGATGATGATGATGATGATGATGATGATGATCATCATCACCCTTATCATCAATATCGTCATCATCATCGTCATCATCCCCATCACCATCGCCACCATCGCCACCATCATCAGCAGCAGCACCATCATCGTCATGGGCATCGTCATCGCCATCACCATGATCATCATCACAACCATCATCAGCAGCAGAAGACTCCCCATCATCACTCTCAACATCATCATCACCATCGTAACCATAAGCATGATCATCCTCGTGATCAGCATCACCATCATCATCATCATCAGCAGCATCTGCATCACCATCGCCAGCATCATCATCTGGTTCCCCCTCATCATCAGCATCATGATCACGATTGCCGTCATCATCATCATCATCAGCAGCAGCAGCATCAGCATCGCTATCGTCATCGCCATCACCATGCTCGCGGCAGGCCTCCCGCGGCGGCCGCAGGCCGCCGTGCCTGGCCTTGGGCGCCAGCGCGGCGCCGCCGACGAGAGGCTGCAAGCCCAGCGCTGTGGCCCTCGTGAGACGAAGCTGGGACGAGGATAGCCTTCAGTCGGGCCTGTCCCTCTGCAGGAGTGTTCAAAAATAGTCGTGGAGTATGTTGGATCATTTTTTGAGTATGAATTAACTATTTCCAATACTTCCCCCCAACAACGCCTGTAGAAGGACATGCCCGACCTAAGCCTCGTTGCGCTTCGGCGGAAAGAATGATTCTGACGGGTACACTAGTGCACATAGGATGCGCGGCGCTCGCCACTCGTCCGGGCAGCATTTCGCCCACGGGTCACGCTTGAGGCTGCGTTGAGCTGGTTGTAGTGGAAAAAACCTCGTGTGAGGATAAATCGAGAGCCTCTGAGATCCGGCGGCTCTGAAGGGTTCCATAAACATGAACCTGTGGCGCTCCGCGCGGATTTTTGGGATCGGAGAAGGAGAAGGAGAAGGAGGGGGAGGGCCCAGAAGAAAGAGGAGGATGAGCGAGGAACAAATGATCCAAGGAGGGGAGTTGACAAGTGGCTTACATCGGCGGCGATCTGAGCGACTGCGACAGCGCCTCCGTGGGACGCGCGCGCGCGTGTGTGCGTGAGGAGCCTCTGCCTTGCGTAAGCTGGCGCGCTGCTAGGCGCCAATCCACGCAGCCGTGGCTTTCATCGTGGCACCTGTGGCGCTCGGTGCACTGCCATCCTCCTCCTCCTCCTCCTCCTCCTCCTCCTCCTCCTCCTCCTCCTCATCATCATCATCATCATCATCATCATCAGCATCATCATCATCACTCTCCTCCAATCCTGCATCCGTCCGTTTACTCTCCTCCTCATGTCCTTTGACTCTTTCTTGTCGTCCTCCTTCGCCGCCTCCACACGTCCTCTGCCTTCAGAGCGAGTGCGCGTTCGGGGTCGCAGGCCCGCGTGTGGGAGATCGCGCCACGAGGGGTAGTTTGATATGACGCCTAGCCTCAAACTAGGAGGAGGCAGAGGAGGAAAGGGGAGCAGGCAGGGGAGGAGGGAAAATGAAAGGGGAGGAGTAGGAGGAGGAGGAGGAAGAGGAGGAGGAGGAGGAGGAGGAGGAGTAGGAGGAGGAGGAGGAGGAGAAAGAGGGAGAGGAAAAGGACGAGGGGGAAGGGAGGGGAGGAGGTCGAGTGAGAGGGTCATCCCGCTGCCTCTGCTCCTCCCCTCCCTCTTCCTCCCTCTCCTTCTCCTCTTCCTCCCTCCTCCTCTCCTCCCCCTCCTCGCGCAGAGAGGGGGATGACTTGCCAATGGACGTCGGTTGGAGGCCATCGCTCTCACGGGACGACCCCTGCGCTTGGTCGAGTCCGACGATGGAGAGGCGCGCTTTCTGCGGGCTCACCACGCATCCCCCCTCACAGAAGGGGGACGAGCAGGGGGAGGGGGAGCAATGGGGAGTAGGAGGAGGAGGAGGAGGAGGAGGAGGAGGAGCAGGAGGAGGAGGAGGAGCAGGAGCAGGAGCAGGAGCAGGAGCAGGAGCAGGAGCAGGAGCAGGAGCAGGAGGGGGACACGACGCAGCCTCCCAGCGGCCAGCGCCAGCCACGAGCGCGCGACACGAGCTGCTGCTCGCGCCGGGAGCGCGGGCACGGCCCCGCTCAGGGTGGAGGGGTGGGGCATCGGCCGTGCGACCAGCCAATGGCGAGCCGCCTCCGGTGCGCCGCCGCCCCCCCGCCCTGGATGTGCGGGCTGCGCCCGCGCTACCGCGACCACGGCATGGCATTGCCGCAAGGCACAGCACCGCGCGGGACACCGCCCAGAGCGGACCGACGGCTGGCCAGCACCCTCCTCCCCGCTCCGCCGCCTCTCTCCTGCGAGGCCCCCAAGAGACCCCCGAGAGCGCCCCGAGAGGCCCCCGCAAAGAGCCCCGAGACGTCCCAAGAGGCCCGCGAGACACCCTCACTCACCCCGAGCGCCCAAGACCGTCCTACAGGGCATTGATATGGGCTCGGAAGGCTACGAGGGGCATGCACCAAGCGCGAGAGGCACGCACCGGCATCCCCGAGTCGCAGAAACCTGTGGCCGCCAGCGACCATGCGGCCAGCTTCCTGACCTCGAGCCCTGGCAGGTGAGGGCCACAAGAAGCGGACAGGGATCCCATGGCCCTGCACCGTACAGCCGTGGCGGCGCCGTCATCGTCATGAACACTGCTTGGGTTTTGGCCACCCGTCTTTGCTCGTCCGACGATGGCGGCAGCATCTGGCTGCCGCTGTGGCAGGCACTGGAAGCCGATGGAACCCGCACGTCCGACGGGCGGCTCTCGTGGGCGTCCGCCAGGAGAGGGGGCGGAGAGATGGCGAAGAGGGAGGCTTTAGGGCGAGGGGATCAGGGGGGCCCTTCTAGGGATTACTTCTCCCCTCCCGTTGCGCCCAACCCTTTTTGTTTCCCTTATCACCCCTTCCCCTCCCCAATCTACTCTCTTGCCCCTCTCCTGCCCCCTCTCTGCGGCTCTCTTCATTTCCTCTCCCCCCCTACCCCCACCGCCCCTCCTCCTCCCGCTCGCGCTCACCCTGCCACCCCCCTCTCTCCTCCGGCTGCCCCTCCCTCTCCTTCCCCCTCCTCGGCCCATCGCTGCATTCCTGATGATTGAGCCTTCCGATGCCAGCCATGCCAACGAGCGGACGGACACCAGCTGACGCATCGCAACACGAGTTGAGCGTGTTCCTTTTTATTGCTTGGGGCATAGTGGGCATTACAGCCCCGCCCCCCCCTCCCCCCCCTATAACGTAACGCCCCTCCCCCCCAGTGCTCTTTGGGCACTGCAGCCGTGCGCCCGGCAGGGGGGGAGGCGTCACATTATACCCCCCCTTTGCCCCCCCCCTCAATGCCCATTATCGCCGAACATAAAGGAACGCGTTCGTTCGACCAGCGACCCGAGGGATCGTTCCAGGCGTGTCGCATCGAGGAGAAAGCGCACGTCGGAAGGGGCCGCGGCGCTGCCTGGCACAAGCTCAATGAGGCAGCAGGATGGCCTGTCGAGCCGATGACAGAAGCGGAGATCTTCTAAAGTGTTTTAGTATTATTAAGTCGGGCATGTCCCTCTACAGGAGGAATATTCAAAACATCATCACACAATAGTCTGGGGACGATTTGTCAGTATGTGTGAGTTTTTTCACAATATTTTTGTGTATGTTTTATTTGTCGTCCAACATCGGCCTGTAGGGAGACATGCCCGACCTAAATTTAGTGCGTCCCAGGGCCTCGGAATGAGTCACGCGTACAAGCAAATATCATGGCCATTACCGACAGTTACTGTTTGTCGTTAAGAGGATGACTAGAAAACAGCAGTCACAGCATCGACGCATGGACACATGGCTCATGTTGAGAAGTAGGTGACTCTGTCTGCTAGTCAGAGCGGCAGTTCGTCGCCCGTTGAACAAGCCCACCGCATGTCTGCTGGCACGCGAGGCCGAAGAGGCACACATCATGCACATTCTGCGCAAGCATGCTGGCTGCCTGAAGCCGAAGACCAGGAGAGCGACCCATTTTTTGTGTGCCAGCGAGACACCGCTGTACTAAAATTGCATGTTTGCGGTATGAGGGGGGGTCGCAGCACTGATGTCACGAGGAACGTGCCTTGCCCGGGAGCTGCTCAGTTGGTTCCATTGTCGACTGTGTGATTTCGTTCCGCATGATTGCAATCGGTTCGTGGTCATTGTTGCGCCCTGTTGATTGGCGCTGTTCTGCAGTTTGACGTGATACCCCCATCATGTGATCCAAATTGGTTGCCAGGGCAGCCGACCAGGCATTCGGCGCCAATATTGTCCAGATCCACGTCCTTTGACCGGGGCCTGAGCTCAGAGCTGATCAGGGCCAATGTCATCCAGGAAGGCTGATCTGTGCGACTGTTGGTGGCCGCTTGCAGCCATTTCAACGGACGCGCTGGGTACGGTTGATGCGCTAGCCCCCCGCGAGTTCCCCACTCTTCGGGGCTCTTGGGCGGTCTTGGAGCTGTCTTGATCGTCTTGGGCCGTACTGGAGGCCGTCGCAGGCACTGTCCGGGGCGTTTCGGGGCAGCTTCGATGGGCAACGGCGCCGCCTTGGGGTACTCTTGGAACGCTGTGGGAGACTTGCGGGGGGTGGTGCTGGGGGGCTTCGTTCGGCCTCCCGGGACGAAACGCCCAAAACGAAGGGTTGTCAATGTGTTCCGTGGCGTATTCAGATTTCGGTGCTTCACCCCGTTCCCCTGGGGACCAGTTTGATTGCATTTTGGGGTCTTTGGGTGCTCCTTGCGTGGCCTTTTTAGGCCCGGCCCGTGGGGTGTTTTGCAGGGCAGTTGGGCTACTATTCAAGCCCGATCGGGACGTCTCGGTAGCCTCTATTCGGTTCTCGGGCCGCCCAGGGAACAGTTTTTGGGGCATGTCGGATTCGGAGATGGTGCATGTTAGCCACGGCGGTCTGAAGTACTATGGCGACGAGCGGACAGCATCGCTGCGAGTCGGTCGTCGCTCCCGAAAACGTGCTTTTGGTTTATGCATCAAGGGTTGGATGCTCGAGCGCCCCAGGCACACCATACAGATACATGAGTGACCGCGTCATACCAGATACCTCAATCACCGATGCATGTTCAAGCACATCGTCTCCTCCCAACCGCCTCGGGAGCCCATGTCTGACTGATGCACTCATGTGTGCTCGCACGCTTGTGGCCAAGGGGCTTGACCACTGCTCGTCGGCTTCCCTTGCCCACCCCATGACCCAGCGGCGCACACCCGACTCTGAGCATCTTGCAGCCTCCACCGCACGGACGCGTTCGCACGCCATCATCAGGGGAACAAAAAGTAACATACACATAAAAACTCGGAGGTCCGCGCGGACTTCTCGGATCGGCGCTGGACCCCCCTCCCTGGCGCGCGGAGCGCGCCAGGGGCGGCGCCGGAGGCGCCGCTGGGGGGGCCCCAGCGCCGAATCGAGAAATCCGCGCGGACCTCAGAGTTTTTATGTTTCTGCCACTTTTTGTTCCCCTGATTATCACGTGTGTAGTCACCGTGGTGGCAATGTGCAGCACACCTGGATGACACAGCTGGCTCGAGCCCGTGCAGGAAGGGCCCGAGCCTCGCCAGGGCCCTCCCTGCGGGGGCCGCCTCTCCCTGGGGCGGCGCCGCGCGGGCGCGCCCGCCGCGCGGGCGCGGGGGGGGGCGCATGGCGGGCGCCGTGGACCTCGAGCTGGAGAGCGAGGCGGAGGTGGTGGATGCCCAGCCGGACCGGGGAGACGTGGTCCAGGACGTGGCCGGAGACGGCGACGTCCACGTGGGCGCCGTCGTGCAGGACCTGTCCGCGGCGAACGAGGTGGCCATGGTGGGGTCGGACTCCGACTCCAGCAGCTCGAGCAGCTCTGGCAGGAGCCGCAGCCGCGGGCGCGGGAACACGCGCGTGGGCGCGGCGGCTGCCGCGGCGCTGCTGAGCGCCGCTGCGCCAGTGAACGTGGACGAGGAGCAGCGGATCCTGGAGAGGCGGCTGACCCTCCCCACCTGGTTCGCCATGCAGCTGCAGCACGAGGGCGGCACTGTGGAGATCATGGCCGAGTCCGGCGCGGTCATCAGCACGGCGCCTGGGCACGACCCCGCCACGACGGTCGTCGTGGTCTCAGGGACGCCGCTGGCGTGCGGCCGGGCCGCGGCACGCCTCGCCGAGCTGCACGAGCGGCAGGAGGCGCAGCGGCTGGGCGCCGCGGGGGACGGGCAGGGCGGGCGCCTGGCGCAGTTCGACGTTCCGGCACGCCTGCTGCATGCCGTGGTGGGCCCTGGCGGCGCGGCTATAGGCGACGTCCGCTCCAAGTGCGGGGGCGTGATGATCGCCGCGATGCCTGCGGAGGGCGCGGACGGGGTCGCGAAAGTGTGCATCGGCCCCGGGGAGCCAGCGTCCGTCAGGCTGGCGGAGGAGATGCTGCTCAGCCGTCTCCGCGCGGCGGAGGGCCGGCTGGGGCCTGCCTCGCCCGCAGCCCAGCCGCCCGCGAAGGGGCACGCGGCCGCCCCCGCCGACGGCGAGCACAGGTCCTTGCTGGTCGTGCCCGGCCATGCCGGCCCGCCCCCGCAGCCCGCCAGCGCCGCCGCAGCAGCCGCCAGCGCCAGCACGGCGCCCGCGGACGCTTCGCCCGAGCCCCACGCGGCGCCGGCCACCGCGCCAGCGGCCGACGCGGCTGCGGCCAGCGAGGGCTCGGGCGCTCGCCTGGCAGGCGGCGGCGGCGGCGGCGGCGGTCCGGAGGCCGCTGCGGACGCTGGCGTTGTTCCCGAGGCACCCGCGGGCGCCGCCAGCTCGCTGCTGGGCAAGCTCTTCGGGAGGTGGCGGTGAGCAGCTGCCCGGGCTCGCGGAGGGTGCGGGCAGGCGGTGGTGGAGCCGATCTCTCGAGGGCCGTATTTGCAAGCTGGTGCGCAATAGTATGTCATGGAGAACGTGTATGCGCGCGTGGGCATAGATGCGCTCCGAAAATAAGCATTACTTTGGGCTTCTGTCAATGGCGCATCATCACAATCCATACCGTGCTCGTCAGCATCGTCACCATCCTGCGCGCATTGCGTTCACGCCAGACGCTGCGATGCATCATCCATAGTCGTAGTGAGACGTAGTACGCCAACACCAGACGTTGAGACGTTGCAGATGAGAGGTGCGTGTAGTGCGTACTCCAGAATCGTACAAACAGTGCTCATGGGGAGAATCACTGAGTGGCTTTCTGGTGCGAGGTACGTGTTACTAGGCGTGCTGTACTGGGCCAATGTGCCTCTGCACGACCGGGCAGCCTGCAGACAGTGAGCCCCACGGCGATGCCAAAACACGTTGACCCAATTCCACCGTTGTAGGCTCCTCATTTGAGCGACGCCAAAAAAACACGCTGTCGCCTGTGCCGACATTAGCGGGTAAGTTGCCGGCGTAAGCGCGCGCGCGTAAGCGGCCTCGCCACCAGTGTGGCGTGCCGCACTATGGCCCGCGGAAGCCGCCGCGGAAGGTCGCTACGTCGTCTCGCGCAAGACCCGTTGTTGATCGACGCTCACTTGTCTCCGGCGGAAGCTCCTCGGGCGCTGCTCCCCCCCTGGGCGCTGCCTGTTCCGCATCCGCTGATGCCTTGAGGCATCGCTCGCTTCCGCGGCGCCGCTGCTTGCCTTCGGGCCTCGGCCCCCCCTGCTTCCGCCTGCCTGGCCTCCGCGTCCTGCCGTTGGTGGAGCCATTTTTCGTCCCCTCGCACGGAGACCTCTGCCGTGGGTCCCCGCAGAGGAGGAGGAGGAGGAGGAGGAGGAGGAGGAGGAGGAGGAGGAGGGAGGAAGGAGGAGGAGGGAGGAAGGAGGAGGAGGAGGAGGAGGAGGGAGGAGGGAGGAGGGAGGGAGGAGGGAGGAGGAGGGAGGAGGAGGAAGAGGTGGATGCCTCCTCCGTGGGCCCCCGCCTCAGCGTGGGCCCGTCGCCCCCCGCTCGGGCTGCTGCACGAGGGCCTGGCGCGCTCTCTCTCTGCAGGCCTCGCGTCCTCGGACCGGCCCCGCCGCGCTTTTCGCCGCGCGAGCGGCCGGCCGACGCAAAAGGTGTGTGCGTGCGTGCGTGCGTGCGTGTGTGTGTGTGTGTGTGTGTGTGTGAATGTGTGAATGTGTGAATGTGTGTGCGGGTGGTTGTTTGTTTGTATGTGTGTGTGTGTGTCTTTGTTTGCGTGTTTGTATATATATATATATATATTTATGTATATATATATATATATATATGTATCTATATATTGTAGTGGCCTTCGGCCAGTGCCGCCGATCCGGGTCGCTCGGTGTTATTCTCCAGACGCAAACATTATGGGCGCACACTCAAACGCACAAACTTCTCGGGTTACCTTCGAAAGAGCGTAGGAATGCAGTTGGGTCAATAGAGCCATCTCGCAACAGTGGTTCTATCAACGGCGGGGTGCTTGCAGTGACCATGGGGACGGGAAATAATAATGACATGAAAATTCCATACAGGATGCCGATCACTTTGGAAACTCACGATACGTCGTGCACGGAGTCGTGTTACGAAACATGTGGCCTGGACGATGTGGTGCGAGCGGTGGAGGCGAGCCTATCGGCGCAAGGACGCCCTCTTGGGGCGTTTTTTGAGCCATCTTAGGAGCCTGTCAGGGCGTCGTGGTGGCTTCTTGGGGGCTTTCGGAGGCCCTCTTGGAGGCTCTTGGGGCCTCCTGGGGGCCTCCTAGGCTGGAAGGCTAGATTTTGTCCGCTTTTCGTCCCTCTTTTGGGTCCTCTTGGGGCCGTCTTGGGGGCCTGTTGGGCCGTCTTGGGCGGCTCTCGGGCCGCCTTGGGGCGCTCTTGGGCCGTCTTGGGACTGTCTGGGGGCCTCCTGGGCCGTCTTCGAGCGGTATTGGGGGCCTCTTGGGCCGTCTTGGAGCGTCGGAAAGCAGAAAAAAACGACAACCCCAAAAACATTGAAAAAACCAATGGGAATCAACGATTTTTGCCTCTGGGGGCCATCGTGGGAGTGTGTGTGTGTCTTTGTTTGCGTGTTTGTATACATATATATATATATGTATGTTTGTGTGTTTCTCTGTGTGTGTACTGTTTCTGTGTTTCTGTATGTATATGTGTGTGTGTGTGTTCGCGCGCCTGGTCCTGTGTGCGTGTGAGCGCCCCGTCTTGTGTTGTTTGCGCGTGGTTGCGTGTCCGCGTGCGTGCGTGGTTTTAGTGGTGGCGTGACCCGCCACTGTGGACCCCGCAGTGGCGAAACCCTGCGTCGCTGGAGCAGATTGTGTGTGTATGAGTGTGTGTGTGTGTTTGATGTTTGCGTGCGTGCGTGTGTGTGTGTGTGTGTGTGGTTGTGTTTATGTATGCGCACCGGGGGTGGAGGGCGGCAGGGCTTTGTGTCACTCGACGGTCAGAACAATAACGAGAGAACGGGGAAGACGGAAGGGCAGGGGAGGGGAAGGGAGACGAGGTCGGTGTGGGAGGGATCGGCGACGTGGAGGGGCTCACGTCGCCCTCTTCGTCGTCATCCTCCTCGTCCCACTCCTCGCCTCCACCCATCTCCGTCTTCCTCGGCCTCATCCTTCCTGCCCGTCCTGCCCCCCTGCTTGTCTTCGTGGCCCTCATCTCGCTCATCGTTCTCCCGCTGCTGCCTCTCCCCTTGGGCCACGTCCACTCCTCATCCTCATCCTCATCGTGTTTCTCAACATCTTCCTGCTCCTGGTGATGGCCAGAAGAGTGGTGACAGTCGCTAAGCAATTTGCGCAGTGTCTCTTCCGTTCCTCTCTGTCTCCGTCGGTCTTTGCCGTGTCCTTCCACTGGTGGGGCGGGACCATTCTACGGGCGATTCCATCGAAGTGGGAGGGGCCCACGCAGGCACGAACTGTAGTTGCACCTTCCTTGCTGCTGACATCCACATCATCATCATCATCATCATCATCATCATCATCATCAGCATCAGCATCAGCATCAGCATCAGCAGCAGCAGCAGCATCATCATAAGCATCATCATCATCATCATCATCATCATCATCATCAGCATCATCTTCGTCTTCAGCAGCATCAGCATCAGCATCAGCATCAGCATCAGCATCAGCATCATCATCAGCATCACTATCATCAACATCATCATCAGCAGCATCATCATCGTCATCATCAGCATCAGCATCATCACCATCGTCCTCCTCCCCCCCTTCCTCTATGTGGCCACGCTCGACCTCTTCCTCCTCCCTCGCCCCGTGGTCGCCCTCTCTCCCGGCGCCCGACCGCCTCCTCAGGGGAGGGGCCGTAATCACCGAGAGCGTCCAGGACGCCGCGGAGTACCTGGAGGACGGCGGGCCGGCAGTCTCGCCCTCCCCCCTCCCCCTTGCGCTCATCCTCCGACTGAGTGGCTATCCTCCTCCTGCTCCTCCTCCTCCTCCTCCTTCTCCTCCTTCTCCTCCTCCTCCTCCTCCTCCCCCTCCTCCCCCTCCTCCTCCTCCTCCTCCTCCTGCTCCCCTCCTCCTCCTCCTCCTCTCGCCTGCTCCTCCTCCTCCTCCTCCTCCTCCTCCTCCTCCTCCTCCCTCTTCCTTCACCTTCCCCAACTCCTCCACCTCCTCCTCCTCCTGCTCCTCCTCCTCCTCCTCCTCCTCCTCCTCCCTCTCCTCCTCCTCCTCTTCCTTCACCTTCACCAACTCCTCCACCTCCTCCTCCTCCTCCTCCTCCTCCTCATCATCATCATCCTCAGGGTGCCCCGGCCGACCTAGACAATGTGGTCAACGAATCCCTGCGGCTGAAAGGTGTAGTGCCTAAATCCCGGAATTAGGCTCCCCCGTCCCACGCCTGAGGAGACACCCGAGGTTAGCGAATTCGAGATGTCGATACCCCAGCCCCCGAGATTGGCCTTGCTGGTGAGGTGGCCCCGTCCCGGACCAGGGTGCGGGCTCGGGCTGCCTTCCTGGATGGATTTGCAAGGGCATCTCCCCCTCTCCTGGCCTCAGGGCTCCGCTGATCCCGACCCCGCTCCTGGGCGGAGTGGAGGTGTCGGCGGCAAGCAGAGAGTGCCCGCGCTAGCCGCCTTGTGGTGGTGTACCCGTCTCACAGAAGGAGAGCTCGATCTGTTTACCGATTGCCAGTCTGATTTTGATGGTTAGCTCGGTGGCCAGCTCGAAAGGCCTTCGGGAGCCCCAAAGGCGTGGTGGGAAAGGATCTCCCAGGCTGTCAGAGAGCGCCCTGGCCACATCAGACTGCACACATGTTTCTCTCACATTGATGCCGTATCGCACGAGCGCGAAGGAGAGAGAGAGAGAGGGAGTAGAAGTGCCACGGGGTAATGAGACAGCCGACTCGTGCGCCGAGCTTGGACCCTAGGAGGCGCACGCGTGGATCTCTTCCCAGGTTACGCACCTGGCCCGTGGAGACGCTCTGGCCACGCTGGCCCGCCAGCGTCTCGCGGCAGCCTGTGCCGAGCTGGCCGCGGAGGTGACAACCTGCGCTTGGGAAACGTCCAGCCCTGGAACCGGTGTCCCTTTGGTCATCGATGGGCCCTGGCTCGCGTACTGTGCGAATGCGGCCGCAAGAAACCCTCGCAAGAAACCCAACCCTAAAGATCCGCGCGAGAGGTGCGACTGGGGGGAAGCCGGAGGTACCCCTGAACGCAGCAGCCTCTTAACAGCGGCGGGAATTCACCGCGCAGCGCGCGGATCGAAGAAACCCAGGACAGCCTGGCGACAAGCATTTGGTTTCTTGATGCGCGCCCCCACTGTATGAGGGACGACCAGGTCCCTGTGGTGTTCTGAGTAATTGAAAGATTAACAATTCAGCCCTCAGTCCAACCGTGGCGGCGACGAGTCCCCAAAGCAGAACCGCAAGCACAAACGACACGACACGAAGGCGGGGCGGCCGACCGGGACCGCCCCCCGCGCGAGGCGCCCGAGGGAGGAGAAGCTCTGAGGAGCGCGGCGGCCTTCGAGCAGAGCTCGGGCCATAAGGTGGAGCGTGTGGCTCAGCGCAGGTGGGTTTGCTCCGAGTGCCGTTCGGGGGGCCCAGGGAGGTCCTCGCTGGTTGATTGGTTCGGGAGGCCCCGCTGTGAGCGTGACGCCACGCTCCGAGTCCGAAGTGGTGCTGGAGCCCCTGTCCTCGTGCCACCCCGAGCAGTGGGCGAGATCAGGACGGCCTCCAAGTCCGTCCACCCTTCGCATACTTGCCAGGAGTTGCCAGGAGGCATGGACTTGCCCGGTGCTGGATGTGTGCACATGTTGGGAATGTGGTGCGGGGGGGAGGCTCATGATGTTAATTAGCTGAAGCCTGTACAGATAAGATCACTCACTCCCTCGGGACGCCACTATTTACAGCGTTTGCGTGACGGTAAGCCCCCAATGCTGGGACTCCCTGGCACATCCCCCCTCGGTTGGAGTCTCAGGGGGTGCAGGGGGGCTCTACCGTCCAGACTTCACTCCTGAAGAAGACCCGTAAGTAAAGTTACTGAGGGCCATCCGTGTGTCGGATGAGTTTGCCCAGCTGTGCCGTTGCTGCTGTCCTGGGGACCTGCTGCAATCTCCATGTAATGTCCTCCTCCTCCTCCTCCTCCTCCTCCTCCTCCTCCTCCTCCTCCTCCTCCTCCTCCTCCTCCTCCTCCTCCTCCTCTCCCCTCACCAACTAATCGTCTTTGTGTTCCTCGTCCTCCTCACGGTGCTTCTTGTCCACATGATCCTCGATCTTCTCCTCCTCCTCCTCCCCATCCTCGGTCTCATCCGCCTCCTCCTCCTCCTCCTCCTCTTCCTCCTCCTCCTCCTCCTGCTCCTCTCACCCTTTTCCCCCACTCCTCCTCCTCCTCCTCCTCCTCCTCCTCCTCCTCCTCCTGCTCCTCCTCCTCGTAGCTATGTCGGCAGCATGTGGGTGTGGTCGAGTTTGGGAAGACGGGGAAAGGATGAGGGTGCAGGTGGAGAACAACAAAGTTTTGCGCTGTAGGTTGTCAACTATCATGCAGACCTGAGGAGCTTCGATTTGTTGTTGAAGCTTGCCTGGTGAACTGTTGGTGAACATGACTGGGTGAGTGCTGTAGGCAGGGCAGCGGCAATGCTGCTCGCAGGACGGATGCTGGCCCCCCTGTCGCGCACGCAGATCATTGCATTTGTTCCCCACCCCCGAGCCTCAGAGCGCCTCCCCCCGAACAACAACAAATCTTCCTCCTCTTCGCTTCCTCGTCCCTGGCGTGGACCTCCTCGTACCGCCCCTCATGTTCCTCCCTGCTCATCTCTTGTCCTTTGGCCCTGGCACCCGTCCAGCTTTTGGATGGGTGGCAACTGGGGCAACGCGCGTGGGGGTGTCCAGTCTGGCCGCCGCTCACTGCGCGCAGCCGCCCTGGAAAGGAGGGAGCCGAGACTGAGTTCAGCCACGGGGCCCGGGTGCCAATGTCGGCCCGCCAGAGGAGATTGCGAACCAGCTCGTTGGCCTGGGGCCCGACGAGCTGCGGAAGCAGTTTGCAGGAGCGGGGGCCGGCGCAGAAGTCGGGCCGGACGAAAGGGTAAGATCGGGAAAGGGGGGCCTACGAAATATGCTGCTTGCAGCCGGTTTCGACCCTGCCGCCGGGCCCATTTCTCGATACATCGGCGCCAGGAGGCGCCAGGGAAACCAGCTACGTGAATTGATTGATTGTCTACCCTACCCTGTGTTATCGTACATTTTCGCCCCCCCCCCCTCCACCCCACCCCACCCCCCCGAACAGGGAGAGTGGGCGGGGGGGGGCCCGTGCAGGGGTGGAGGGGATGGCAGCGTGCAAGAAGGCGGGCGGTGTGTGGGACTGGGCGGAGGGGCGCAGTGCGCGGCGAAGAGTGATTGGGGATAGGTGGAGAGAAAGGATATTTGGAGACAAGAGGAGGGGGTCGTCTTTCCTCCTCCGTCTCTTCCTCCTCCTGACTCTTGCACCGTCCATGTCTTCGAGGAAGTGTATCGGAGGTTGGGGGGTGAGATCGAAGTGGAACGGAGAGCTGCCCACCGGGAAGTCGGTTTCGGTTTCGTGTTCGTGTCGTGCGTGCGGGCGAGGCGAAGCTGCGTGCGCGGGCGAGAGGAATTCATTATGCTGTCGTAGTGGTTCGCCAACATAAATGTTTCCCCCGCCGGCGCGTGTCAAGCGGTGGCCCGCATTGTCCCGTCGGTTGCCCGCCGTTGTCCTGTCTGTCGCTAGTGGTTCGCCAACATAAATGTTTCCCCCGCCGGCGCGTGTCAAGCGATGGCCCGCATTGTCCCGTCGGTTGCCCGCCGTTGTTCTGTCTGTCGCTAGTGGTTCGCCAACATAAATGTTTCCCCCGCCGGCGCGTGTCAAGTGGCATCCCGCATTGTCCCGTCGGTCGCCCGCCGTTGACCTGTCTGTCGCTAGTGGTTCGCCAATATAAATGTTTCCCCCGCCGGCGCGTGTCAAGCGGTAGCCCGCATTGTCCCGTCGGTCGCCCGCCGGTGTCCTGTCGTGAGATCGATAGTGAGATCGATAGTGAGATCGATCGTGAAATTGATAGTGACACCGAAAGTGAGATCGATAGTGAGACCGAATGTGAGACAGAACGTTGGATCGATAGTGAGATCGATCGTGAGATCGATAGTGAGATCGATCGTGAAATTGATAGTTGCACCGAAAGTGAGATCGATTGTGAGATCCAATGTGAGATCGATCGTGGGATCGATAGTGAGATCGGTTGTGAGATCGATTGTGAGATCGATCGTTAGATCGATTGTGGGATCGATCGTGAGACCGATTATGGGATCGATTGAAAGATCGAGCCCGCATTGTCCCGTCGGTGGGGTGAGTGCCGCGTCGCGCAGCGGCAAACCTAATGACACAAAACGCCCAAGCGAAAGAACAAACAAAAATGCGCCACGTCATCCACATCATCATCGGCCATCAGCACCACATTCACCACAGTTGTCGTCATGAGCCCCCCCTTCCCCCCCCACACAACCTCCTTATCACCCGCAGGGTGGTCGTATAGGTATCGCCTCTCTTCCTTCTGCCCCTCCTCTGTTTGCAGCTCCTTTTTTTAGATAGCGCCTCGCACAATGGTTCGTTTGGAGTCGGCTATGGCTCGCGTCCGCGGATAAAGTGAGATCAGCGCAATGGGAAGAGATGAGGGGGGCCAGGATGTGGGATGTGGTGCGAGTGCACCTAGCTTCCCTCCCTTCCTCTTCTTTCCCCCCCCTCGTGTTCCCCCCTCCTCCTCCTCCTCCTCCTCCTCTTCCTCCTCCTGTTGCTCCTCCTCCTCCTCCTCCTCCTCCTCCTCCACCTCCTCCGCCTCCTCCGCCTCCTCCTACCCTCCTCCTCCCTCTCCTCCTCCCCCTCCTCCTGCTTCTCCTCCTTGTCCTCCGCCTCATTCTTCCTCCCCCCCCCTTGTTCTCCTTCCCCACCCTCGTCCTTCTTCTTCCTCCTCCCACCCCCCCCCCTCCTCGGCTGCCCCCCCGTGGGGGGGCGAGGGGGGGGCGAGCGGAGCCGTCCTGCAGAACTGGCGCGGACGGAGTCGCACTGCGCCTCGGGTCCGAAGAAGGGCGGCGACGTGGGGCGCTTCCGCAGGGGCCAGCGTCAGCCGGCCTTCGAGGAGGCGCGGTGCTGCTTGCTCGCCGAAGCGTGGCAGGAGGCGGAGTCGGGAGACCCTGAGATCCTGGCGTTGCATGTTTTTCACCACGGGCGTTTTCGCTCAGTGTCGGGCCCTGGGACCCTCACAGATCGATCCGGCTCGAAAAATGACGCGGGAAGATGGGGTCTGGGACTCTGGTCGTGTTTTTTTGTTTGTTGTCATGTTGCAGTGTTTGTTTGCAACGGTCGGATCTCAGGGAAGGAAATGGTTGCATCAAGGTCCAAAGCGACAACGCCAGTGTTAATGCTAGACCCCGACCCTTGGAACATGGCGCCGGCGCGCGAGCCGACTGCAGCAAAACGCACAAAGAGCGCACGAGCTAGTCGAGCCGAGTCCAGCGACGCCGCAGAAGCTCCTTTCCCCAGTGCGCAGTCCCCTAAGAATGGACGCCACCACTGCAGCCGCGCAAGGCGGCCTCCCTGGGCCCACTCCGATCGCCGTCCCAACAAAACCAGCGTTCCCGCTCGAGATTTTGTTTTGTTTTACGCTGGACTAGCGCCCTACTCTTCAGCGTTGGCGCCGCTCCCAGCAACAACAGCAGGCCTGCTCGAGACTTCCCCCCTTTCTATTCAGGGCCAGGTCCTTGCCTCACCGCCGACAGCCCCCATCCCCACCAAGGCAACCCTGTCGTTCGATACTTCCTCGTGCTTTACCCTTTGCTGGGGTTCCACTGGCGGTCTCGCATCGGCGCAGCAAGGCGCAGGCATGTGTTTTCGAGGCGGGATATGTTGAAATTCCTCGGAGGAGGTGTTCGCAAGACCTCATTGGGCGGGAGATCTGGGAATAGGAATAACGGACCCCGCTATGGAACACGAGCCCCCCATCATGTGAATGCTTATCATGATGGACGCATGCATCGTGTGGAAACATCGCGCATGAGGGTAAACTGATTGTTGCTGTTGTTGCTGTCGTTGTCGTCGTCGTCGTCGTCGTCGTCGTCGTCGTTGTTGTTGTTGTTGTTGTTGTTGTTGTTGTTGTTGTTGCTGTTGCTGTTGCTGTTGCTGTTGCTGTTGTTGTTGTTGTTATTGTTGGTGTTGTTGTCGTTGTTGTTGTTGTTAATGTTGTTGTTGTTGTTGATGTTGGTGTTGTTGTTGTTGGTGGTGTTGTTGTTGTGGTTGTTGTTGTTGGTGTTGATGTTGGTGTTGTTGTTGTTGGTGTTGTTGTCGTTGTTGTTGTTGTTGTTGATGTTGTTGTTGTTGTCGTCGTCGTCGTCGTCGTTGTTGTTGTTGTTGTTGTTGTTGTTGTTGTTGTTGTGGTTGTTGTTGTTGTCGTTGTTGTTGTTGGTGTTGTTGTTTGTCGGTGGTGTTGTTGTCCCAGGCGCGACCAACCCGCGGCCCGCCCGCGACCCACCCGCGACCCACCCGCGACCCACCCGCGACCCGCCCGCGCGCCGCCCGCGACCCACCCGCAACCCACCCGCGACTCACCCCGCGCCCGCCCCTTCACTCTTGTCCGCATGTGCGGGGTGCTATATGTAATGCAACGCAGCGTGACGCAAAACAAAACAATGCAATGCGAAGCAATGCGAAGCAATGCGACGCAATGCGAAGCAATGCGAAGCGGGCAGCGACGAGGCGGCTACGGTGGCGACATGGCGGCCGGAGCGGCCCAGAGGCCCAAAAGAGCGGGCGGCGACGGGCGGCGACGATGCAGCGACGACAGCCACATGGCGGCCCGAGCGATGGGCGGCGACATACAGCGACAGGCCCAGGCGACGGGCGGCAAGGGGGTGACGACGGCGGCCGCATAGCGGCCAGAGCGGCCCGCAGGCCCAGGCAACCGGTGGCGACGGGCGGCGACGAGGCGGCGACGACGGCCATATGGCGGCCAGAGCGGCCCACAAACCCAGTTTGTGCGAACACAAGTGAGATCCCCTCTGTGCAAGCACTGTTTGAGGAATTGCTGCATGTATGTAGCACCCCGCAGTTGCGGGTATGAGTTGGGGGGCGGGCGTGGGGTGGGTCGCGGGTGGGTCGCGGGTGGATCGCGGGTGGGTGTCAGGTGTGCCGCGAGCGGGTCGCAGGTGGGTCGCAGGTGGGTCGCGGGTGGGTCGCGGGTGGGTCGCAGATGTCGCGGGCGGGTCGCGGGCGGGCGCAGGTGGGTCGCGGGTGGGCCGCGGGGTGGGACGACGACGACAACAATAAGTTCGCTACCGAGGAACCCCACACACATACTTATATTATGGCTGGAGTGATGATAGCTGAAGTGAAGCATGTGAGAATGATGTTGGTGGCCAGTCCCTGCGCACCCCCTTATGGTGTCGAGAAAGTGCCACGCCTGTTGCGCCCTGGACGACCGGCTCGAATAGCGGCCGCGCTCAGGGACCACCCCCTGCGCACCCCCTCTGGTGTCGGGAAACAGCCACGCCTGCTACGCCCTGCGCCATGACCCGCATAGACGCCGCGCTCGGGGACCACTCCCTGCGCACCCCCTCTGGCGTCGATAAAATGCCACGCTTGCTATGCTCTGCGCCATGGCCCGCATAGACGCTGCGCTCGGGGACCACCCCTGGCGCACCCCCTATGGTGTCGAGAAAGTGCCACGCCTGCTATCCCCTGCGCCATGGCCCGCATAGACACCGGCCTCAGAGACCACCCCCTGCGCACCCCCTATGGTGTCGACAAAACCCCACTCCTGCTGTGCCCTGGACGACCGTCGTGCTGTGCTGAGCTGAGCTGAGCTGTGCTAAGGTGCTGTGCTGAGCTGTGCTGTGCTGAGCTAAGCTGTGCTGAGCTGTGCTGCGCTGTGTGAGAAGGAGAAGGAGGAGGAGGGGAGGTGAGTGAGGGTCGCGGGTGCGACGCGGCAGGGATGACAACCAGAACCCCACGAAACATGTGAGGAATCATATTTGATATTGCTCGCTCTTACCTGCTCGCGTGCAATTCAACACGTGTATTCCAGCCCCTTGGACATATATGATCTAGAGGGCCGCCACCCCCCCAATGCATATGGGATCGACCCCCCCGCCTGATGGGTACGCTTGTGAGCCTCGCAAAAGCCTCGCGAATGGGATCGTCCCCCCAATTGTCGTGGCCTTGTGGGCGTAGCGTGGTGGAGGGTGCTGGTGAACCCCCTGCCCTCCCATGCTGGTGTGGGGTGCGTCTTCGTCGTCGTCGTCGAGGTTCGTCGTCGTCGCCGTTGTCGTCGTCGTCGTCGCCGTCTGTCGTCGTCGTCGTCGTCCGTGCGTGCGTCCGTGCGTGCGTGCGTCCGTCCGTGCGTGCGTCCGTCCGTCCGTCCGTCCTCCGTCCTCCGTCCTCCGTGCTTCTTCCGTCCTCCGTCCTCCGTCGTCGTCGTCGGCGGCGGCGGCGGCAAGGGCCGCGGTCGCGGCGGCGGTGGCGTCGGCGGTGTCGGCGTCGGCGTCGGCGTTGGCGTCGGCGTCGTCGTCCACCCCCATCCCATCTGAGGGGGGGTCGGGGGGGGGACCTGTGAAACCTTTGTGCCCAAGCCATATGTCGGGGGGTAGATGTGAACCCTCGTCCCGAGACCTTACATGTTCCTTACCTGCGACGCGTAAGTGGCGCAGCCCTATAACTCGGGAAGAGAAGACGGATGGAAGAGGGAGGGACAAGGATGGAGCACGAGCGAAATGAGCTCGAGGCGGGCTACGAGCAGAAAACACGTGGCAGAACCAGACGGGCAGATCGGGCGGGCAGACCTTAGCGGGCGAGTCGGGAGGCGGGCGGGATGCTGAAGCGTGAGTCTTGCATGAACCGCAGGGAGGTCTGGCGCGATAGCGCGATTCCCAAGTAAATCGTGAGAAAGACCGAAGCGAGAGCATGATTTTTGAGTGTCGAGGGCGCGGCGTTTGCATAAATTCTGGAAGTCCTAAGCGAGAGCGCCATTCCTGCATATCCAGTAAAGAATTCCCCCGCGAGTGCGCGATGTTGGAATAACTCGTGAGGAAGTATCAGGCGGGAGTCTTCTTTGTCGTAGTTCGGGGCCCAAACACCCAGTTTGACCCGGGTGCGAGCCCCGAGGGGGACATTTCATTTGAACAGCACCATCTACACCGGTGGGGCGGATCAACAACCATCGTTTTTCAGGCACGAGGGCTCATCAACAATAATCATTCGAATGATGTTCTCTCTTATCTGCCCGCGTGACATCCAACACGTAAGTCCTGGACCCTCGATACCCGCCCTCTTCCTTACCAGCCGCGCGTAATTGGTGCAGCTCCGAAAGCAGGGGAAGAGAGGACGGATGGAAGGGGGGGAGAAGGATGGAACACGAGATTCGCAGGAGGGGGCTGGGAGCAGAAAGCACGTGGCAGAGCCAGAAGGGCAGATCGGGCGGCAAACGGGGGAGTCCTGAAGGCGACCCGAAGAGGCCAGGTCGAGCAGGCGGGTTGCTGAAGCGTGAGTCTTGCGTGAATAGCCAGGAAGCGCCGAGCGGCAACACGGTTCCCAACTAAATCGCTGGAGAAGAAACAATTTCGAGAAGGCGATTCTTGTCGAGAGCGCGATTCTTGTTTACATTGTGAGAAAGTCCCGCGCGAGAGCGCGATTTTGGTGCGAGGACGTATCACGCGGGAGCCGTTCTTGTAGTTCGAGGCCCAACAACCCAGTCTGGTGGCCCCACTTCTTCCTTTCATGACAGCAAATCAGATGCGAGCCTCGGGAAGAGTCTTGTTTTGTTGAAAGACACCATGGTCACTGTTTCAGATGGTGTCCACATTTGGTGTACATCAAAACTTGCCGACAGCAGTAGTAATCTTTTTCAAACCTGTTCGCCTATATCTGCTCGCGTGCCATTCAACACGTATGTCCAAGAACCTCGGTATCCATCCTCTTCGTCTTCGATTGTGCCCCACTGGGGTCATCTTCCTCACCTGACACGTGCATGTCGCGCAGCCCCCAGGACGGGAAGGGAGGACGGACGGAAGGGAGAGGGAACAGGACGGAGCGCGAGAGCAATTTGCAAGATGGGGGACTGGGAGAACAAGCACTTTGGCAGAACCAGGCGGG